CGTTTATATGCAAACTAGTCTCTCAGTTTTAAAGCTATCTGCATGAAACTTTCCCAGAAGTTGTCTTTCTATTGCAGGTAGTATATAAGTCGGAACGAGCCGGATCGGACGACTATAGCATATAGCTCCCATAGGAACAATCGGAAAAATAAATGAAAAAAAAATTATAACTTTTCTGTTTTTTAATTTTTTGTTTAGTTCTTCGACATATAGCAATGTTTAATTATTTCAGAATTATGGTTTAAATTTTATCAAAATCGGACGTCTATATCAAATAGCTCCAATAGAAATAATAAAAATATAAAAAATAACTATCTTATAATTGAGCTGCAAATCATCATAGTTTCAATGTTTTTCAGCATATACTCAAGTAAATCATAATTTAAATATTTTCAAAAGTATTTAATTCATGCAATAGCTGCAAGGGTATATGAACTTCGGCTTGCCGAAGTTTGCTTTCTTTCTTGTTTTTATTATTGTCGAAATTAATGTAAAATTAAATTAAGTGGTAACAAGCAAATTGGAAAAGAAACAAAATATATCTCAGTACCTAAATATTTAACATAGCAAATTATTAAGACAAATAGTAATTTTTACCTATAGGTAAGGTAAAAGGTATTCTCACATTCTTTTACCTATGTAAGGCATAAGGTATCATAAATTCTGGTATCGACACTGGGTTTGGCTGACATTAATCTTTAACTTGCCTTTATAATTGTTTTTCCCATCTTTGGAAAAGTAAGTTACTCAATTGTTTGTAACTCCAATATTCCGCTAATTTTTGACAACATTTTTATCGCAAACATATAGTTTATTTCTTTAATGGTACGCTTTTACAATCTTTATCTTACCTATCATTTTTACCTCAATTAATTAAATTTAGCAATTTAAATTGGTTTTGAGAGTGTTCTCCTGGTTTATGTGAGCCGAACCTAAATTATTCTTTTTTCGTTCGGTTTTTCGGGGAACTTTTGGCGCTTTTTAGAAAATTTCTGACTTCTCATAAATCCGGCACGTGCAAAGAGTGCGCAAAAAGATATTTAAAGAAGAGAACAAACTTGTTCCCTCTAAGCTCTTGAAGAATTACTGATACTTTCATGGCTGATGTCTTTGGCACTAAATAGAAGGGGAATCACTCCAAGTACTCAAAAGTGGCAAACAATTGTCCAAACATTGACCAAATTTGTTAACGGAAATTGGCATGCACGAATGACCAATCCCTGGCAACAGGGGCAACTTATGACGTAGCTGTAAAGAACGCCCATTGTTTCATGGAATCTCCAGCTAGGTGGAACACAAAAACACAAATATTAAAATAAACAAACGTTGCCAAATGAATTTCAACGATTTATTCAAGTTACGAGGCGAGGGAACATGGGAGATAATAGGTGTGGGTGGTGAGCACGTATGAATGAATGGGTTTGTTGTGAGAGTCAGCTGAAGGCCCCCCGTAATTTGGCTGGGCGATAATTGCCAACGGTTGCTTATCTAACTCTGCCCTGTAATGATCTGACATTAGCTATGCTTACTTCCCAATCCATCATGTATTTTAGATTATAAGTCATCATCTATGGCTTCCCACTCCCTAATGGTACAGTGGTTGTAACTGTCTCTAGGTTTACAAATAGGGTAAAATCACATATTTGCAATCAATTTAAGTGCAAAGTAAGCTTTATCATAAGCATATTAAATTTTGTTTTTTGGTTGATTCTCAATTCTATCAAGCAAATTGATATAAAAAATGTAATCTAATATAAGCAGGGATAAAGAAATTATTTTGTCACAGAAACATCTCTAGTTAAAATGTACATATTATGTTCATATAGAACAGCTTATATAAAAGAGGTCAACTAGGTCACTAAGTTCACATTTTTAAGGAAACACAATGACATTAAAACAAACTAGCAGCAACAGATCACTTTGGGCGGAAATCCTTTGCAAAACAAAAGTAATAGAGGATTTCCAAAATTTGTTTGCTGTCTGCCCTATTTCAAGGAAGATATATTTACCAAATTTCGAAACAACACCCTCAGCAAATAAAAACTTTACAGTCTCCCAAAGGGGAATAATGGAAAATTTTGGGGAGATATATATTTTAACAAGAAAGAAAGCAAACTTCGGCAAGCCGAAGTTCATATACCCTTGCAGCTATTGCATGGATTAAATACTTTTGAAAACATTTAAATTATGATTTACTTCAGTATATACTGAAAAACAGTGAAGCTATGATGATTTGCAGCTCAATTATTAGATAGTTATTTTATATATTAGTTCTATGGGAGCTATATGATATAGACGTCCGATTTTGATAAAATTTAAACCATAATTCTGAAATAATTAAACATTGCCATATGTCGAAGAACTAAACAAAAAATTAAAAAACAGAAAAGTTATAATTTTTTTTCATTTATTTCTCCGATTGTTCCTATGGGAGCTATATGATATAGTCGTCCGACTTTGATGAAATTTAAACCGTAAATCGAAAATATTTAACCATTACTAAATGTCGAAGAACTAAACAAAACATTAAAAAACAGAAAAGTTATAATTTTTTTTCATTTATTTTTCCGATTGTTCCTATGGGAGCTATATGCTATAGTCGTCCGATTTTGATGAAATTTAAACCATAACTCTGAATTATTTAACCATTGCTATATGTCGAAGAACTAAACAAAAAATTAAAAAACAGCAAAGTTATAATTTTTTTTCCTTTATTTTTCCGATTGTTCCTATGGGAGCTATATGCTATAGTCGTCCGATCCGGCTCGTTCCGACTTATATACTACCTGCAATAGAAAGACAACTTTTGGGAAAGTTTCATGCAGATAGCTTTAAAACTGAGAGACTAGTTTGCATATAAACGGACGGACAGACGGACAGACGGACAGACGGACAGACGGACGGACAGACGGACAGACGGACATGGCTAGATCGACTCTACTAGTGATGCTGATCAAGAATATATATACTTTATAGGGTCGGAGATGTCTCCTTCACTGCGTTGCAAACTTCTGACTGAAATTATAATACCCTCTGCAAGGGTATAAAAACCTATTGACGAAAAAAATGAACACACATTGAAAAAACAAACATACAAGCAAACTAGGAGATGAAAACAATTAGTTGTTGTTTCATAATATAATATCTACTTAACGCCGGTTGACTTTTGGTTTATTTTCTACGATTTTATTCAAAGCTGACATTAACTGCTCGTCAGCTGATAACACATATGTTACCTTATATTATGTTCAGCAATAACTTATAGGCTTATTTGCTTTTGTCACTAAACTATAAAATAGTAAAATTCCAATTTAGTTTCTTGGTTCGCAGGGTTTGTTTTTGTTTTAAATAAACGTCAGAAATAAACTCTGAATATTTTTAAGCATATGAACAAAAATCGTGCAATATAACCGTAAAACCCTTTTTGATCCCAAGATATAAAGGAGGAATCAGATTTGACCATTTCGGGATCTTATTTGGGTAATTCTTTAATCAAATAAAAGGTCAACAAGTACTTCTTAACCAACCCTGCAATAATCAAATACAATTCATATTTTGCACTTTAAATGAACCACAAAGCATTTTGTAACTTGTACAGAGACGTAAGCCTAAGTTCTGTTCAGAAATAATCAGATTTCAACCACCGTAGAGAGGCTGAACCAAAGGTTGGTAAACATGGCTGATTCACTCGGCGCACGCGTCGCCGCCTTGAAGAGACTCTCAGTGAGAGCAGAGTCCACTGGCGGAGATTCGGAGATCGTGGGACAGAGATCGCCTGAACACCGTGACTTGCCGTATTGCTCTGCTCCTCTTTCGCGGTCCGAGCTTCGCCTGAACTTTCATTCACAGTACCAGCCACCACAGATGACGTCTTGCGTCTAAATATAAATTCGTATTCAGTTTACGCGGTCACACTTCAAAATGCTCGAGGTCCATTGTCATCATCCACCGAATCCATCCGCCTTCTGGTGCTGCTACATACGTGAGATCGGGGATGCGTGTTTGGAGCGCGGCTAACGCTTTTGTTGTCTACCCATTAATTATGGCAGTTGGCACTGCCTAACACCGAACAAAATTCCCAAAATGTCTCGATACAGTCAAAAATCGTTTATATTTATATAGGAATTATATAGGAATTTATATAGGAATAATAGAGTCAAACAACAGGGGTTATCATTGAATATAAATATTCCTCACAACTGTAACAAAAAACCATAAATGATAAATTTTATCTCCGTGATTGAGAATTACCTTTTTGAAAAAGAATTACCTTTCAAGCGAAAAGTATACTTTAAAAAGTAAGTTTTTAACTGATTAACTGGTAAAATGAAGTTTTCAGTTTTTAGTTGGTTTCAATTAGCTTTGAAAATCCATCTTTTAATTCAAAGAGAAAGTGTGAGTTGTGATGAGAAAAATTAATTTAGTTTGATTTATCGAAAACATTAAATAGGAAAGGTTGATTTGTGGAACCTTCGACAGTAAGAGAGCTGACTGTATATTTTTTTTTTGGTAAATTTGCATTAATAAATACATTTTTTTGGTTTTTGATGGTGCGCACGCTTGACAACAGCTGACGGATATTGCATGTTAAAATTTCTTGCCCCGGGTCTCTTCTTCTGTATTTTCGTTTATTTTGGTGATTTCGTTTGAATTTAATTTTGCCAAATCATACCTTTGGCATTTCACTCATTCTGGTGCGGCTAGGCATGCTAATTTATGGGTTTGGAATTCATTTATTGATTTATTCTGCGTGAGGTGTCAAAGATTCTGTCAATTGATACTTTGATTTTTATTGGCGCCAGAAACATATAATTGGGTTTCTTGGGCGAGTAAACAGTAAAAAACCGGTTTTTTGGTTTGAATTTCATGATATTGTGTCAACAAATTTGCTCATGAAGAGTAAGATTTAATGGATAAAGTTTAATGTTTTTCGTTTTATGGATTTGTTTCTAGTAACTTTATCTTTATCTCTATAGCCTAACCAAATAATTCAAATCAATCAATTCGAACTATATTTTGAGAATAACAATTTATCCACTCCCAACTGCCATGCGAATTTTTATCTGGTAAATTTCCGCGAATTGTGTAATGTTAGTTAAACAATCCTAATCCATAGAAATGGCTCAGGTGTGTCCTCGTGTTCAGCTCGACGGCTGTGGCTCGTAAAGCTAATGCCAAGAAACTTGCAGATGATCCACTTCGCACCTATAATCAGGTCGTGCGGAATTTGATAAGGAACTGGGAGTCTCCCGTGGTCTACCTTAGAGATCGCGGCTTTCTGCCCAAAAACTTCGAGGATACGTCGAGAATCAAACCAAATCTAGATGCCCTGGTGCAGCGAATGGAGAGGGCCAAAAGGCATCAGGCCAAGGGAAAAGACATCGTTTTAAGAATAAAACCCACAGAGATGGGAAACATTAAGCAGCTGAAAAACTCTGCACGAAATCAACGTGGCATTCTGACCGCCAAGGGCTCTGTACTTTCCAACTTGGAGCGATTGGAGGCCATAGATAGCAAGATGTCACAGTCCAATCCCAGACTAAACGAACAGGAAGGACAACTGCTGGCCATGAAGCGGCGCTTGGAACAGTTGCAACCAGGAGTGGCCAGTCTGGACCAGCCAGGATATCGCAGGCAGATTAATGTAACGCCGAGAGTCAAAACTCCAGTTAAGTCAGCGCAAAACTACGATGAGATATTGCAGAGAATGATTGAAAAGACCAGTCCACTGTCCAAACAGCACTCCAGCTCGCAATTGCGAGCCTCTAAAAATGCAGTATTGAACTCGAAATTTCAAAGTGCCAAAGACGATAAGTTGTTGAATTCGGCTCCAATAAATTTGAGTACCTATAAAGCTTTCAGCTTTCTGCCCAATTCGATTGATAAACCCTTCATTGACCTGACCAAGTCTAGTCGAGCAGAAAACAAGAACCAAATGTCGACCACTAACTTTGAATCGGATTTGGCCGCGCCCAGGTATCTGAATTGGGACATAAAGAATGGGCGACTGGACCATTACTCAAGCGCTGAAAAGGAGGCCTATCTGAACCAGTTGGTCAGAGTGTTCGGACAAAATCTGGACTCCAAGGGGGCCCATCAAAAGTGGGGATAACCCGTATTCCTGGAACCCCAGGATCCCCTTCCAAAGACCCGCTGATGATTAACTTAAGCATTTGAAAATTTATGATCTCCGTTTGATGACTCACAATCCGTTTGGAGTCCGTGCCAACACAAATTAATAATAGCCATTTCCATTTCCATGACTTTAAACAAAAATCCTACGTCATATCCATGGCATCAGCAAAACCAATTGGTTTTCTTTTGTTTACCTTGTGTGAGCGCACAGAAATCACAGGATATTTCTGTTTACCATTTGTCTGTACGTATGCAAATGATTGTTTTCAGTGTCGAATCAACGCATTGATTCGGCAACCATATGCTATTGCAAATAAGAGGCCAAGCCATGTTTTTGGATGACAGCGTAAGAAAAAAATGTTCCAATGCAATTGAGTTGCGAAAAATATAACAAACTAAGAACAATCTATATACACTCTGACATTGGATATTTTAAAAAACAATCTTTAAAAACTAATAAATAATTATTGCTTGCAAAATATTTAAAATCAAATATTTAGTGGGAAGTCATTCTCAAAAGAATTCAAAGACATATTTTTGAAATAATATTTATTGCATTTCGTAAACAAGAAAGTAATTTGATCGATTGGCTACCACGGAACTTAGAGTACAAGTATTATAAGGGAGGTCGTGAGAAGCCTTGACTTTGGTGTCCCACCGCGTTGTAGATTGGTCTAGAATTCAACTAGGCGCCTTGCTTAGGGAAGCGCTAATACTGTATTATATATGTGTTTTCCATAAACTGAGTGGATATAATTAGTTGAGATTGTCCCGTGTGGCCGATGACTTGCGCACAACCATGGGCGATCGGCGAGGCGATCGCAGTTCCAGTTGCTGCTGCTGGCCATTCACGTTGTCCAACTCGTTTTCCGGCGAGGGGGAGGATCCGGCTCCGGAATTACGTCGTGACGACGAGGCCCGCACGTGGGTGTCCAGATGGCGAAAGCTGCAAGAGAATTTTAGGGTTCTTTGGTTACAAAAGGGAAACTTCAAGGGCTGCCATTACATTCTGGACATCATCTTATACTTATCATTGTTTTCCCGGAGACTTTTTTTTTTAGACATTGATTTTTAAAGCTTTCATACTGAACAATTAAAAGGTTGATCTCATTACCTACTGCTCCGACAAACAGTTGTTACAAGGTTTGGTTTTTTGCAATTTCTCAATTTTCATAAAAAAAACAAAAGCTTTACCACACTTATAAAAAAAAAACCTAGTAAATCCAAATATCTTGTACTCAATGTTTTTAGTTATTTTAAATATGCAAATTCTTTTTAAACTTTTCTTTTGACTATTATCGGCATTGATTTCAATATCTAAGAATTTTATTTTAATCTGAACCATATTTAGATTAAATAAACTGTATTTAAATCAAATAGGAACTATTTGAAATCTAATATTTTCAAAATTATTTAAATTATTTAATATTAAATCATGAAACTTAATACGCATTGTATTTAAATGATTTAATCTATTATTATTTATTTATTAGGTATTTGATGTATTTTTAAAATACTATTCCTTTTTTTATCAGTGCAAATATGGTTGTTTTTTAATAAATATATATTAAACGCTTTTTAAGTACTAAACAAAAAAATATAGTACTTTTCTTAAAGCAAAACCAAATGGTTGTTTAATTGTTTTAAGTATTTAAAGTAAATTTTGAAGCCTGAGCAATTGTCTGAAATGTGATGGTATTAATAAATTTTTAGACAGTAACTTAAATTTAAGTCTAAAACTAGCTTTAACATGACTCCATGAGCCCTCTTAAAGAGTTATATTTTGCACTTGACTCACCGCAATGAGACATTGCTGCCTTTCTCCTCGTTGTTGCTGTTGAAGAGGAAGGCCAGCGGCCAGGATATCCACGAGTTGTGGTCCACCGAGCTCTGGGTCCGGATGATGGGGGCACTGCCGCGGCTCACCACCGGCGATGGCAACTCCATGGAGAGCTTGGGGGTGCCGGCCTTGTTAATGGCCGGGTTGTATATCTTCGGGTCGCTGACCATGCGCACAAAGAAGGAGCGCTTCTGGGCCAGCGTGTCCTGCTTCTTGCGGTTCATGATCTCGGAGAGCTCGTCGTGCTGCTCCTTCTCCAGCAGCTCGTTGGCAAAGTCCACGATGATGTCCCAAGCGTAGTCGATGTCCTCGGCGGTCGCATTCTGGGCCACGGCGCAGAACCGGATGATGTAGCGGTCTCCCACGCTGGCCGGCACCATGTGCAGTTTTCCGGACTCGTTGATTATACTAAGTAGCTTTTCGTTTAGCTTGTCGCTGCCCTTCAGCCGGAAGCAAACCAGACCCAGCTAAAGCAATCAAAATGTAGGGTTATTAAAATTTCCTACACCAAAAAAGCTTAATTTGGGGTGACAAATTGCTAACTACGACAAATCAAAAATCAAATACATTAGTTTACCAATTGAGTTTAAATAAACCAAACAAAACCGCTTATAAATGTGATAAGGTTTTACATAGCCCCCATGCAATGTTCGTAATTAGATATTTTGATTTCTAGGAAATGTAGTTAGTTGTGATACAAAAGAAACACACTTCCTTCAAAGTTTTCACAACGTGAGCTTCTGCAGATCCGCTACCGAATCGCCACTCAATTGAATTGGGCACGCTTACGCTCAACAAGTCCGAAACATTTGTCAGTCGTCGACTGGATGAATCACTTGTGCCTGTCGCTGGCCAATTTTCTATAGCAATTATGCCAAAACACTTCCATTGAAAAAGCGAAAAAGAAATCAATTTTTTTGCGTCAGTTTCTTTGCGGAATTTGGCGTGTAGTTGCGCACGTTTGCTTCATTTGCCTCATTTGCCTCATTGGGCAGGCGGGTGTGAACAAGTTCACGTCTTCGTGGCCAAGGCCCTCCGGACAGTGTTTAGGCAGCGATACTTGCGTTACACGCCAGTCAATTTCCCAATTATAGCTGCGCCCTACATGGGTGCTGGTCCCTTGGACACATTCGCATAATGGACCAACACACCCACAAGTTGCTTGAATGAAAATCCCACACATTGCGGTGCGGTGGGGTGCACAAAAGAGCTTTGAACTCTAAGCATGATTAATTACTGGAAGAAACCAAATCAATCGCAACAAGAGCAAATAAAAGAGAAAATAGAAAAGAAACGAAACGAATCGAAAGCAAATGTAACTCACCTTGACTTGGTTACAGATCTCAAAGCGTTTATCTTTGAGCACGAGCTCTTCGAATCGCTTGGCCAGTTTGATATGGTGACGTATGTAATGCTGCAGCCCGGAAATCCCATAAGATCGCAGCACGAACCTGTAAATACGATCTTACTTCAGACATATAAATAAATAAAATTCGTAGTTGGTGTCTTCTGGGTGGGCAACAATTAGCAATAAATGTTTGTTCGCCCGTGTTTCGTCGTGTTTCGGTGTGGACTCATCTCATTTGGGCAATGGATTCGGCATTACAACTAAATCGCAAGCAAATACGGCGAAGGCACATGCTTGAGCTCTAAACAAGTCAACACACTTAACGCCACTCCAGGGCAGTCCAAAAACAATTCAATTTTCGACAATAGTCAACATTCAACAGTCAACAGAGCCATTCGCACTTGGCTGTCGAGGGGCCCCTTTGGACCCCATATGGCACATGCTACATACCACAGCTTCAGCGAACGAAATCGCCGGCTGAGTGGAACTCCCCAATGACGATAGTCGATGGCCGCGTCCGAGTAGCCGTGCTTCAGGTACAGCGGATCCACCACCAGGGCTGATGTCAGGCGGATGCGGTCCCGCACCCACAGCGTCGAGCAGTCGAAGTTGGTCAGCAGCCATTTGTTGGGGTTCGTGTTGAATGAGTCGGCGAATTCGATGCCCTGCGGAGTGGACAAAGTCGGATGGGACTGGGACTGGGACTGACTTCTCCGGCAAATCCACTCACCTTCAGGAGGGGCTTCAGCTCGGGGCAGATGAAGCTGTTGCCCGCGTAGGCGGCGTCCACATGCAGCCAAACGCCCGGGAACCGCTGCAGCTGCTTGCCGATCTCCGGCAGGTTGTCAAACGCACACGAGCCCGTGGTGCCCAGCGTGGTGGAGACGAAGAACGGCACCAGTCCTTGCAGCTCGTCCTCCTCCATGGCCTCGTAGATCGTCTGGCCGCGCAGGCTGGCGTTCTCGTCGGGCTCCAGGATGCGCAGCTTCACGAAGCAGATCATCGCCGCCTTCTCCACGCAGCTGTGCGCCTCCTTGGAGCAATAGGCCATCAGCTTGGACAGCAGGTGACCCTCCTCCACGAACGGGTGCTGCGCCTTGAGCCTCTTCAGGGCCTGCGCCCTGGCAGCCAGCATCGTGACCAGCACGCACTCCGAGGCGGAGGTCTGTAGCCCGGAAAATAATTCATAAGACGCGGGTTAACGAGTTTAAACTGAGATGGGTATACTTTATAGCTCCGATGGAAAGATTGTGAACAATTTGGCTACAAACATTGAGAGATCAAGAAACTATACAATACTATAAAAGCACAGAAATAAAGGCTCGGGTTAAATCAACATTCTTAACAGTTATTTATATTTATAAAAATATAATACTTTTTTTTTTTGTTATTTTTTATGTCTTTGAATTGTATTATAAAAAGAAAGAAAGCAAACTTCGGCAAGCCCAATTTTATATACCCTTGCAGTTATTGCCAAAATTATATATTCTTTAAAATATCTAAGTTTCGATTCATATGCGTGTATGTTTAATTGGGTCGGAAATATCTCCTTCACTGCGTTGCAAACTTCTGACTGAAATTAAAATACTTTCTGCAAGGGTATACAATTAAAATTAGTCTATTTGATTATGTTGTTATAACATTAAATAGTCGAGAAACTATTATTTTTAAAGGTGAAGTACTATTTTCTAGGCAATTAATTGTATTTCTAACGTGGGACAGATTTGTCCAATTAATTTGACTTTACTCTTGCTTTATGTTTGAACTTTACTAAGCTGCACAAATTATAGCTTAGCAAAAAGTTATTAAAAAGAGCGGTCATGTAAAGGTTAAATTCGGAAAAAAAACTTTTTAGTAAGGTTAAACATTGTACATTTTAGGAAGCAATGAGTTTAATTAAAAACCAAACCGTTTTAGTTGTTATGTTTTATGTATTGGTCTTAAAGTTCTTATAAGAGTAATTCAAACGAAACGTACAATAAATCGACTTTTGATCAGTTAATTACATCTGCTATAGTCAACATTTTTGTCTTCTTAAAAAAATAGCCTAATCGGAGATACTAGACTATAGAGTTATTTTAATTTTTTTTTTTTTGGTGCTTACCTGAATGACTCCCCCACCGGTGCTGCCCTCCTTGAGGGCCAGAAAGTGATCCGGCAGACCGATGGCCTTGCCCAGCCAGTCGAGCACGATCGTCTCCAGTTCGGTGCAGGCGGGACTGGCCGCCCAGGAGAACCCGATGCACCCAATGCCGTCGCCCAGCATGTCGCCCAGGATCGAGGGAAACGAGTTGCCCGCCGGAAAGTAGGCGTGGAAGCGCGGATGCTGCCAGTGCGTCACGCCGGGCATGATCTTGTCCTCCACGTCGCTCATGATCTGGTCCCAGTCCTCCGGCTCCTGTGGGGCCTCGGCTGTGTGGGTGGGGGTGCTGTGAGGAAGGGTCTTAGTGATTTTCGGGAGAATCGGACTTACTTGGCAACAGATGCCGCAGGTAGCCCGGCTCTACGCTGGGAGTAACTCGGCGCTCGTTCAGCGTCTCCAGATAGTTGCAGATGTACTCTACCATTTCCATGCCACGTTTTCGAAACTCAGTGCTATCCATCTTTGATTGATTCTCCAAGTGGCTTCTCTGCTGCTCGTGAGTTTGCGAGTTTGTATTTTTCCGTTTACCCACACGCTGTGCGTTGGTATTTAAATTTGGAAAATTTACCGATGAATCAGAGAAGTGGGCACCTTTAATATAAGCAAGCAGGTTCCAGTTTGTAATGAATGAAAAATCGCATTTTATAGTTTTCATAGGAAAAAAATCGACCTAGCTCATTGTTATTAAACATATGCATACAAAATTAAATATAATCGCTTATACAATATTTTATTTTGTAATAGGTAGCTGCAAGGGTATATAAACTTCGAAGTTTACTTCAATTCTTGCTTACATAGTTTCATATTTGAGACATTTTCTAAGGGCGTTTTCACAGCTTCATTGTTAGGACAAGATTTTAAAATAAATTGTTGTATAGAGTTAGTAGGCTGAAAAAAAGAATTTAAAATAATTTTTTCTGAGAAAACTTTTAAATTTATTGATTTTGTTCACATATTGTGGTATATTAAATATTTTATAAAAAGGAGTTGTATTTGAAAAAAAGGTTGTCGATGAGAAAAAAATCTTCGATTAACTACTAAAAATTTAGTCAAGAAGCTCGTTTAAAAATTTCAGACTAATCGGTTGAACTGTTTTCGAGCAATATTTTGAGAAAACCGAGCTTAAAGTTTTTCCTTGTACTTTCAAGCAGTCTGAAACGCCTTTTAAAATTTGCGTGTAATTTTGAAAATATTGACCGGAACGATATTATATTTTCTGTGTGTTTATTTTTAAATATATATAACCTAAGAAAACAAAATAAAATTAATTTCCCTAAAATTACAAATATAGATGTTTCTACTAAGAAATTGTAGAAATCGATATAGCTTGGATATATATTTAAATTTGGTCAAAGCACCAAATCACTTAAAGGGGTTAAAGAACTGGAAAAACAACGGCATTGGACAATAATTGGTTCATGATTTTATAAATTTCTCGCAGAGAAACAGTGCATAATGTAATCGTTGACATTTCTATCTATCTATCTGTATAAACGTGCATATATCGGAAACTATAATTGCAAATGCTAGTCCGCTGGATTGTAAGGCTGGACTTACTCAACAAATTCTTAAATTTTATTGCACTCTCTTTTTTTTTGATACTGTCTTGAACATAAAATATGTACCCAGAATGCTAAAAAACTTGTAAAATCTGACAATATTTAAGGTTTGGAAGCCTACTGCAGCTTTAATAAAACCTTATAGTCGGGGATCTCAAAGCGTTTTTTCTTGTATTTTGATTAATTTAACAATATGTCCAGAACAATTTCTCAAGGAGTGTTGTCAAGCTTTGACCAATTTGATTTTTAAACTGGTGTTTCCCAGCGCAATAGCGGGTTTTTTTACAATTCGTCTAAATGAAAATATTTTAGTTCATGTGGTAATAACGAATTTTAAATTTGAACACTGTGCTTAAATTCGAACAACAAATTCGAGTTTTTTTTTTAATTAAAGTATGTATTTCGGAATTTTTGTAATTTTATCGTTCGATTTGTTTTTAACAATCTGCTCATATTTATTTATTAAATCCATTTCATTTTGTTTAAAAAAATGTATTTTTCCTTTATTTTATTGTTTTGTTATTTATGCGATCTGATTTATCCCCGCCGTGTCCGTAGTTTTTTCGGCTTTCTAAGCCCACCAATTTACATTTCACATTGAACTTGATGTATTTATGTTGTTGCTATTTTAAATTTATTATGTCCGAGGTTGTGGGCTGGTTAGAAATTTGTGTTCCTCAATTTTGCTCGATTAAATCGCGGATGCTTTTTATAAACAACATTTTTTGTTTGTAATTAAACTGCGGTTCCTTAGGCTTGTTTTATGGCCATGTAACGTATACAATTCACAAATAGTGGTCGACAATTAGTGGTCGATTGGCTATCACCGTATCCGTGGCACTTACTTGAGTCAAAGCGAACCCCGATGAGTGAATCTTGTTCCGAGTCCGAGACGACGAACCGTTGGCCACGACTTGCGAAACCAAACTGATCCTTGCTCTGCGGTCTGGCCAAAAGCTAAGCTCGGTTGCGGCTGCTGAGGCTTCGCCTTCGGCTGCCTTGGCATGTCTAATGAATGCATACTTCAGTGGGTTGGAGCCGAGATGGGGCTGGTGGTGGTGTGGTGGGTGCGATTGAAATGGCAAATAAATGGAATTTTTGCGACGCTTCATTCATAGCTAGGAGCGGAGGAGTGGGTGGCCACCAAACCTCTTCCATTGTGCGTGAAGATATGCAAAGAAAAGGAAGGGAGAGTGCAAAGTTAAGCATCCACCAATGCCCATGTGAGGTTGCACCGCTGCGTATACTTAATATTGCGTATACGCACTCCCAATTGAGTTTTGAACTGTTAAATGCTTAGCCAACCTAATTTGCTCTTAAAATAAAACTCAATTTGGCCATGGATGAGTTAATTCAAAGTACGTGTTGTCATAAACATACAACAAATTACATTGAAGGGCAGCTACCCACGACTTTCCACTTATCCTTGCCCGGGATGCGAACCGTTTTATTAATAACTTCCGCACCAAATTGAATTATTATTCGTACTTGACAGGAATGGCGGTGGTGCCAAATGATTGTGACGATGGGCCTGGCGTTGACGATGAGCCGGGCAGAGCAGCCCAAGCAGGAGCAGAAATAGAAGGAATTTCAACGCATTCCTTTTGCAAAATTCCAGCTCGCTTTCCTTTTCCATCTCGGGCTCCTTTCGTTCCGGCTGCATTGGGCCATAGAATTGTCTGGGACACGTGGCCCCATGTACTTGCCATCATCATACCACACAACCATCTGATTTTTCCCTCGTTTTTTTGTTGTTGGATGAAAGTTCATTAATAAACTTTCATTGCTGCTGTCGAATTCAGCTGCAGCCCCCATACCCAGAACCAAAATGTTGTTCGGCCTCAGCTTCAACAAGTGGCATCATGCTTCTGCGGCTATCATCCCCCGGTGACCTCCTTTCCCGCTACCCGCCACCCTCTCCATCGCCCGTTGTTGTCTAGTGGCCGACACCAGCAGGGTTTTATTTAATGGGAAAACGCCGAGAAAACGCTTCTGCATCCGCTTTCATTTAATTGCTGTAGAAATGGTTTTTTATTGACTTTTACTTGAACTCCTCTTCAAAATGCATTAAGTCGAAGCAAAGACTGTCATGGTTTTGCCAAAGCGTTTGCCTTACTTCTTACGAAACTGTACCTTTTATTTAAGTTAAAAATAAGCTAGGCTAATAATATATAATAAAATATAATTTTGTATCAATTCTTAAATATTTAAATCGAAATTAAATGTATGTAGTTGCCACTTTAATTGTTTTATTCATTTAATTTATTAAACACATTGTAAATTTGGAATAGGTAAATAATTTAATATATATGTTTAAAAAAACTTATTATTTTTAAATTAATTTAAATTACTTATATAGATCAACAATGGTCGTTTAAAAACCAATGCGCTGCTAGTTTTCTATAAAATGTTGATATAGTTTTACCAATCACAGAAATCAGCCCCAAAAAAAACAAAAGAATTAAATTAAAATAAATTATTTAAGCTTCAGTTAAGATAAATGCCGATCGTTTAAAAACAAATCTGTTTCTAGTTTTTTTGTAGTTTGTTCTCCATCAGGGAATCATATTGCTTACCAAATCAGCTCTGGAAAAACAAATCATGCTCTGAAAAGTGTAGGTAACTTCGCTGGCCAGAATACCGTTCTGCCCTTGCTGACTCGGCTCATAAACCGAGCAATTATTCAATTTGCACGGACTGTGACCGCGCAATAGCTGCTCCGGACAGTTTACGACGAGTGGTTGGTTGTTAAGTTGGTTGTTGAGATTCTGGACCACGGGGTCTTTTTTTGCCCATTATCGGTTCAAGGTTATTGCCGGAGGGCTTCTGCAATATTATATTCCTGATGGGGTAAAACAATCTTATTTGCAGATTTAGTCGGCCCGCCTCAAAATGATGCACTACCGCAAGGCTGAAAACGTGGAGAAGGAGCTGAGCAAAAGCGATTTGCCCTTCGAGGACTGCATGCCAAACCCTCAAAAGGACTTTCTCTGGATGCATGTGAGTATTAAGGGCTTTTCTCCGTACATTTTCCCCAAACTTGTTACTTAATTGTAGGTAAAAGGCGGTACTAAAGTGAGCAATGTGATTGAGTTCGCTCAGGCGGCGCTGAACAAAGGCGAACACAGATGCGTAGTGTGGAGCGGATCCGGCGGCGGAGTGGTCAAGACCATATCCTGCGCCGAGGTGCTCAAACGGAGCCATCCCGTCTACCAAGTGACGCGCATGGCTTACACCAGGTGAGCAGGTTGCTCGTAAGCAACTATGGTGTCATTACTATAATAGAGTATTTGATAAAGCGTCGAGGAGCACTGGAAGCCGCAGATGGATGGCCTCGAGGAGATAATCGTCAACCGCCAAATACCAGCCCTTCACATCCTCATGAGCTTGGACGAGCTGCCTGATAGTATAGAAGGGTGAGCTAAAAGTGGCCTTAAGGTTAGCCATTAGCTAGTAATTCAATATTATTTGTATAGTTTACAGAAGCCAAACACATCCACCGACTTTTGGCAGGGCGAAGAGGCTCATCCACGTCCCCAACACCGCCAGCAACACCAACAGCAACCAGGTGCCGGTGCCCGGCCAAATAAACGCCATAGGTCAGGACGCAATAAACCAGGCCAACAACACGGGAAACCTGCCGCAGAAGAGAATCAACCTTCCAGCCAGAGTCAAGGTTAAGATAAGCCGTACAACTAGCCTTCTAAAATTGTGAAAACTCCTCTATTTGCCGTTTGTAAAGGATATACAAATAAAGTCTAATTTATCACAATAGCATTATGGCACTAAAGCAATTGAGGGCAATGAAAGATTAGCTCTTAAGAGATAAGCGCGCGCGGGCTTTGTATATTTACTTTTCATAGATACAGTACTTTTACTTACAGTAAAGGCATTTCGGGGATAGACAACATCTTTGTCTTCGTTTTCATACGATGGCTTGAACAAATTAGGGACTATACCTGTTAAACCCATACAAAATTATGTCATTCTGGAAATTAAAAAAAAAAGAGTATTTTCATACAATGTTTTTAAGTTTTTTTCCCACAGTAAGGTACATTTTCGACTTTATTTTAACTTTAAGTTATTTTTAAAAAAATAATAAACAACGGAGCTATAAGCTGTCTTACTCTAACTGCTGACATGATTGAGTGTCCAATTCAAAAAATTAAAAAGGTTATTAAAGCTAAAAATATTTCCCTGCAATCTTTGAAAAATATCAAAAGTTAAATACCTTTTTAATTAAAACAAAAGATTGTAAGGAAATACATTCAAAAATTGTTTAAAAGACGGCCATCCCGTTTTCATAGAATATTTTTGAAAGTGTAAAAAAACATGTATCCTAGACTTAGGTTAAGTTAAAGATCACTATCGTAAATTTAAATCTATGTCTGCGTAATGCGATATTATGTTATCCATTTTTTACGATAAAAATCGATCACATTTTGCAAATTAAATTTTGACTTTGTTTAAACGGCTCTTAATCCTGTTTTACCATTCTTTTAAAGTCCTTAATATATTAAAGAAAAAATTAGATAATTTTTTTACGTCCAATCCTCTCTGGAGAAGTCCCTGTTTCAGTCTTAATTTTGTTATTTTCCTTGCATATAGCTCTTTAAATAAAGTAAGTATTTAGTTATCATAACTAGTCAATTGAACAATTAATTCAATTTGAGGAAAAAAAGGTCCGCTGAGGCAGGTTTTTACTGTACTTCTGCTTTTATTTATTGTGCACACAAAATTTGTTGTGCACACAAAACACTTACGGAATGCTGGACAAATCTAATCTGCGGTTTCAGTGGCGCTTATCAACGCACGAATGTGTAGCCAGTCGGTTAGTGTGAAAAATGCTGGGTCTGCGACGAGTTCTGCGATCGGCTGCACTGCGTCAGCTTCGCAGTCTGAGTGGCAAGGCGCAAGGCGATGTCCTCCCCCAGAGCTGCGATGTCCTGATAATCGGGGGCGGCGGAATGGGTGCCTCCTCCGCTTTCTGGCTAAAGTCCCGAACGCTTCAGCTGGGAAGAAAGCTTAATGTCCTGGTCGTGGAGCGGGATTCTGGGGTATGTATGGTTTCCAAACTTCTGAATACATTCTAGTGCTTAAGAAAAAAAAGTTAGATAAACTTATACCGTGGTCGGTATAGTCTTTCTTCCAACACTGTGCAATAACTTTTGTGGTGTTGTCAAATTTAAGAGACTTAAAATCAGGTGTTTGTGTTTGCAATCGGTCTATTACTCATTTAGTTTGAACTAATGTTAGCGATGGTTGACCCTGTTGTTACAATTTAAAATGCGAATGTTTTTACATGCAGCTGATCATAGTGATTATATGTATATTTATATATAGGACTTTTCAATCGAATTCTGACAAATCTTTTATAATAAAACTAAACCACAATTACTTTTACTAATCTCGAAATAATTTTATAATAAAACTAGAGAAAAAATGTATCTTATTAAAACCACAATTCCGTTTACTTATGTATATCGGAATAATTTATAACTTGCATTACTTACTTTGTAACTAATATTGCTTCCGATTAAATATTGTTTGCTTGACTGGATTTTGTAGTACACCAGTGCTTCTACTGTGCTGTCTGTGGGCGGAGTTCGCCAGCAGTTCTCCCTGGCCGAGAACATAGAGATGTCTCTGTTCGGATACAACTTCGTGGTGAACGGAAGCAAGCACCTGGGGGATGTGGACCTCTGCTACCAGCCAAACGGCTACCTGATCCTGGCCTCCGCAAAGGGAGCCCATATCCTGGCTCAGAACTCCAAGCTGCAGAACGAGCTGGGGGCCCGAAACGAGCTACTTGGTCCGGCGGCACTCCGTCGGCGATTTCCGTGGCTGTCTACGGAGGGTGTGGAGCTGGGCTGCCACGGGGTCGACAAGGAGGGATGGTTTGATCCCTGGGCCCTTCTGATGGGCTACAAGAAGAAAGCCCGCGACCTGGGCGCCCATTTCGCCAATGGATCGGTGGTGGGCTTTGAGTGGAACGACTCAGGAGCCCTATCCGGGGCAGTTGTAGACGCCGGAGACGGAGTGCAACGAACCGTAAAGTTCGACACCTGCGTCCTGGCAGCTGGAGCATACTCGGGTCAGGTTGCGCATCTCGCAGGCATCGGTGATCCGGGGGCGAAGGAGAGTTCCCTTAGGGTCGCTCTGCCGGTGGAACCCCGCAAGCGGTACGTCTATGTGTTCAGCACACAGGGGCAGAACTGCCCGGAAGTGGCCACGCCTCTGACCGTCGACCCGGATGGCACCTACTTCCGGCGCGATGGTCTCTGTGGCAACTTCCTCTGCGGCCGCAGTCCCAGCGAAGACGAGGAGCCGGAGTGCGAAACGCTGGAGGTGGACCACGGTTACTTCGAATCGAACGTCTGGCCCACACTGGCGAGCCGAGTGCCGGCCTTCGAGTCGGTGAAGATCCAGAGCAGCTGGGCGGGCTACTACGACCACAACACATTCGACGCAAACGGCATTATCGGCAGACACCCTCACTACAGCAATCTCTTGATAGCAGCCGGTTTCAGCGGTCACGGTATCCAGCAGACTCCGGCCGTGGGTCGAGCCATTTCCGAACTGATCCTGGACGGCAAGTTCAGCACATTGGACCTCTCTCGTCTCGGCTTCGAGCGCCTGGTGAACAAAAAGCCCATGTTCGAGGTGAATATTGTTTGATGAAAGCATTACTGGCGCTAAGAACCCTATCCTTGTGTGTGTATGTACTTCTTTTATTGCAATTTCTGTTGTGTATATAGTAATTTTGTATAGTAAAGTTCACGTTTTAGTCACGTACAGCTTTGTTGGTGATTTGGCTGCAAGTTGTCAAGAGGGATTTGGTTTTCGGGGTTATGGTGTGAGTTCGGCCACAAGAAGGCCGTGTGCCTACATATAATTTATTTAAAATAAGGAGTTAAACATAATCGTAATATAACTTGCGGAATAATTGCTGACTTAGGATCAGATGGGGCGAGCGGGGTGGAGGGCCTGCGTATATCTGGGTCTGCCCTTGTTACTTAGTAATCGTTATGTAGCTCTATGTGTAACTGACATCTAAACTACATACAAGATCTGCTTTCGAGTCCGGTTCGCTCCGTCCGTGTGTCTCTGCCAGGGCGAGCCAACCCAAGCTGCAAGCTATTGGTAAATATAAATAGATGTATGTTGAATGAGTGTTCCACGCGAGCCGAACTGATTTGGGCGAGCGCCTAGGCCTCACTCTCGCCCGGAGCCGCGTTCTCGCCCACGTTGATGGGCACAATCAGATTCTCCTTGGACATCAGATTGTACTTTGTGACGAAATGCGTGAATCGGTGGCACAGATACGTCTCGGCCTCGAACTCGTCGAAGATGCGACGATGGTGAAAGTAGGCGTGCGAGAAGATGCGGTACACGCGCCGGCACACAGAGCCCAGCTTGGTCACCGACGACTCCTTGATGGACACCCTGTGGGAGACACTTTGCTCATTATGTGGCTAGTTGCAGCCAGTCGGACATCTCCCATACCTGCTCGGGAAGTACTTGTTGCTGTTCAGCAGACAGGCGGCCCCGTCCAGCGTGTGGCGTGTGTAGTCGATGGCCGGGCACTCCTTGGGCGTCTTGTGGGCGGCGCACAGGAAAATCCACTGGTCGGTGGCCGTCATCTGGGTGCACGTCGACGGGGAGCACTCCTTCTGCAGTCGCACCGCCAGGCCATTCAGCTCCATGCAGAACTGGCGCAGGTGCTCGTACTTCCACACGCCCTCGTCCTGCGCCTCGGGCATGGTCAGGATGAGCTCCACGTTGCTCGGGTCGCGCTTGATCAGCTGCTGGATGTACTGTTGCACCGCCAGCGTGCTGTCCATCTCCTCCAGGGGCTCGTCGGGCCAGCGACAGAAGTCCTGGAAGGCGAAATCGGAATCGGAACCTGGTCAGAGGGCTGGGGGCTCGTGCGTCTGGTCAGTGCTCACCTTGGATTTTGTGCCTGGCCGGTTCCTACGCAATATGGTCGAGCCGTCAGCCATCTTCATGTTTCACCTGCTCGAAGACGCGATGATCCAGAACGCCTGTGTCCACGCCTTGGTGAAAAATCCCTGGCAGAGCCTGAGTTGTAGCGCAATACCTGCCCCACTGGATTCTCCGGATTCGGGATCCCCGCACTATTATAAGCTCAATGGACTCTACTTGCGCTAACACATCGCACGACAATAAAGTAGCATTTGTCCAAAACACTTTGCTTTGTGCGAGAAAATTTCTGACAAATTCTACATACATACATGGGCCTATCGATTGGCCGAGTCTGTTAGCTATCGCGCAATCGGTATCGCTATCGATGGGCTTCTGGTATGTTTTTGGTATTTTCGCCAGCCCTGAATGCAAACTGGCCACACTCGCGGGAGCCAGTCATCATAAATACGAACAGATTGGAAAACTTACAATAATTGCGTATTATCTGTGGTATTACGAGATCAAATCTGTCGAATAGCCAACTTGCCGTAACCCACTTAGCTGCAAAAATGTCCTACGCGTACTTGTTCAAATACATCATCATCGGCGACACAGGTGAGTGGAAACTGCGACTCCCCTTCGAAATGGCCAGTGAAAAGTTGGCCATTGTCAGGGCAAGCAATCAGAAATTAGAAAACAAAACAAAGGCGATCGCCCTACGCAGTGGTGTCCCCCGTAATCGGACCCCAAAGGGCACCGAGGGAGGAGTAGGGACAATGGAGGAGTCATGCGTCTGCACAGAAATATCCCAGGAGTCAGGCGGCCAAAGGAAAAATCAATAAAACCATAACAACGCATACAGGCGTTTGCTGAGCTGGGAGTTAACGGGGTGCGGGGGGCGGGGAGCAGCCCACACATTAAAACCCTGCTGCTGAGTCACCCAACCACCCCCAACAGTTGAGGGATTCCGCCCCAAAGAGACACGACCTTATCAGCATACTGTTTTTCAGGCTGCCCAACAGCTGTTGGCGGTTTTCCAGTTTTTCCAAACTTTCCCCTAACAGCAAACTAACTATCTTATCTTCTCAGGCGTGGGCAAGTCATGTCTGCTCCTCCAGTTCACGGACAAGCGCTTCCAGCCCGTGCATGACCTGACCATCGGCGTGGAATTCGGAGCACGCATGATCACCATCGACGGCAAGCAGATCAAGCTCCAGATCTGGGACACGGCTGGCCAGGAGGCTTTCAGGTGCGTAGAATAAAGCCACTAGTGTTCTTTGACCAATTTCTCAACGGCATGCTAAGGTTCCAGTTTTTCAGTCAAAAAATCTGTTACAAATACGGGTCAAATCTCGCTAACACGGAAACCTGTTTATCTCCAGCAAGATTACTGTAAAACACGGAAAAAAATAATTTCAATTCAGAGACACCCACAAATTTGTATAGGATTTTTTTAAAACCCATCGTCCTGAAGTTTCTATTTTTATTTCCCTATTTAATTGTCGAAAAAATTATTTCAACCGAAAGGAATATTTGAGACATCTAAGTTCTGAGACACCTTTTGGTTTCAAAACGTTTTGTTAAAGATGTGAGGATTATATAGTATTATGATACTCTTTTAAAAGAGAAGGATTTTCGGCCTGCATTTCATCTTAATTTTTGTTCCTTCGATATTATATATTAAGACTAGAGATTAATAAATTAGAGCATGTCATTTAAGTAAGAGTTGTTGGCTAGAGTAATTTCTTCCGAACTCCAAAGACTCAATGTCAATTATTGAAATTCCGTTCAGATCCATCACACGCTCGTACTATCGAGGAGCTGCGGGCGCCCTGCTGGTGTACGACATCACGCGCCGAGAGACTTTCAATCACCTGACCACCTGGCTGGAAGACGCGCGCCAGCACTCCAACTCGAACATGGTGATCATGCTGATCGGCAACAAGAGCGACTTGGACTCTCGGCGCGAGGTGAAGAAGGAGGAGGGCGAGGCCTTTGCCCGCGAGCACGGACTGGTCTTCATGGAGACGTCGGCGCGCACGGCGGCCAACGTGGAAGAGGCTTTTATAAACACGGCCAAGGAGATTTACGAGAAGATCCAGGAGGGCGTCTTCGACATTAACAATGAGGTGAGTGCGGCAGCATTTGCCATGCAAACTCCTAGTAATCACAGTTGAAATGCTCCTTCGCAGGCAAACGGCATCAAGATTGGCCAACAGCACTCGCCCACAAACCCGTCGCTGCCAGGAGCCGGAGGAGCCGCTGGAGCAGCAAACAGTGGCTGTTGCTAGGAGTAAACCGCAGATGCCCGACTGCAGTTCTGGGATAGACGTAGCCGCTTCTGTAAAAGCTACTTTAGTGACTAACTAATAGAAGGTAGTTGGAGGGACATATTTCTTGTTTTCTATCTCAACCGTAACTAACCACGTAAACATAGCTACCACTAAACTAGCAATTGAACACTAAGCGTAATGTTAAAATCGTAAAGATCAGACAGCTACAAGACACACCTCTCCTTGTTCAGCTACGTTTTAATTAACCAAAAGAAACCAAAAGAAAAAAAACAGAAATAAACCAAAATCTACAACATTTGTACATGTGAATGTGTCGTGCGTGATTTCCAAATTTTATAAACTTTATCGAAACATTTATAAATGTTTCTGCATGTATTTTGTGTATATTAAAATTAGTTTGCTAGTTACTTCGTGTAAAGAACGATAGTTATACATTGGGATCTTGACAAAATAATGTGTAATATATAACAAAGAAGTTAAACTATGTGAATTTTTATTGTGATTCGTTTTCAGTGAGGTCCAGCCCCGAAATGCTGCGCCACGCCCCTTTTTGCAACGGGTATCTGCTCCTCTTCTATATACATACATACATAATTACATATATGCATATTTTTACGTTTCTTTTCAACGCATTTGCTTTGTCTATATTTTGTTGTGCAACCCGCTTTAGTCTTTATACATACATTAGAAAAAGGAAAAGTACTTTAACAAAATATACAAAACCGGTGAGCTGAAATGGAATTATATAATTTACACACTCAACTTGCATTAACAGTGGATACACATAAATGCTGCGATTCAATGATCAATTTAGTATTTTACGAAGTTTATATATTTAATTAAATGCGAAAGTTAAGACAAAACGAAACAAACAACTGTAAACGTAAATCAAATTATTTATAATATTTGTATTTGCCCAACACAATGCAGAATAATAAATATACATACTAAATATATAAATATATGAATTCAAACTTTGCTTACCTTGGGCCAAACCCTATAAAACCTTATCGATCTTACACAAGAAAAAATAGCAGACTTTATGACGACTAGAGGTAGAAGACCAGATGCCTATTATACTGCTTACTAAACTCCTTAATTTAATTTTACCAATGATTAAAAAAACCAATTGTCAATTGTCCAAAAATATCTATCGGACCATAAGGACCTCTGAACCTGATCCCATTGGTACCGCCAAAGCTTTTTGAAGTTTCCAATATGCAGGTTTTTAAAAGGACCGACAAAGGAAGAATCGACGAATGTAATTATATTTTCTCGGTTGGGATTAAAAAAAAACAGAATCACACTGGCACGAATGCACTTAACATAAAAAATAAACATCACGTCAGCGCTTAATTTTCAAATTGTATTTATTTTGAAATAGGCGTTCAGTAGATAATTGTTTAATTGATGTCTTGTAAATAATATAGAATGGTGATTCATTTTTTTGTATGTACATATTTGCTAAAGTGATTGGAATCAACAGCTACCATTATCTAAAAGTTGCAAAAGGGCTATAGTGTCACATTAACTTCATTTTTTGTTGCGTGCTTACATTTTAAAGGCTTGCTTTCACTAAGGATATATAATATATATGTATTGTTTGTATTTTCTGTAATAATACTTGAACTTGTAAGACTTTACTTAAATGTATATTTTTTTTTTTTGTAATTTGAATCTTTTGTTATGTTTTGTCTAAGAAAAAATTTCGCCAAACTGCAAAAACAGGTTTTCATTTCAACAATAATTATTTCGAATAGCCTAGTTTGCTCAGTTGGCTTACATTGGAAACTATTTGGATCTGTGACGTTTGATGTACAAATATTATTTTTGTTTCTTTCAAAAACAAATGCTCCAAAGACTTTATTGTGTGTTTTAATCGATTGAAAATGGTCGCTTGTTATTGCATACGTTACATAGATTGTTGTTTATTGTATTCTCTTCAATTAATATTCGTACGAAATGTAAGGCAATTAAAACTATTTCTATAAATTTTCGTAAAGAAGACAATTGAGGGACCCGTTTGCACCTGGCAGTGATGCACTGCATTGATATTGATTGAAATTGAACAGTTTGTCTAAGTGTTATTCCGAGATGCGATTAGTAATTGCCCTAGTGCGGTAATTATAGTTATTATATTAGGTGTATATAGATACTTAGCCGCGATTAGTCAAGTCAAATATAGTAGACTTACACTCTAGGTCTTATTAATAGGCTTAGTTTCAGTTACAAATCTGCTCTGATTTTATGGCTGCAACACCATTTGACATAAGAAACTCGTTAACATTTAATGCTAGTCCATTATTAGGCTACAGTTGTGATTTTGTAGTACCTCCAGTTGTCGTTTACTTTCGGCATTCAACAATGCTATGTGTGTGTGTGTGTAACCTAGTGTAAAAGTTGAGCTTTTTTAGTCTCTGAGACATCACTATCACTCTCCTTAGGTGCTTTCTTCTCGCAGAACTCGATCAGATACGAACAGACGCCGGAGAGTGCTATAAATATGCCCGCATAGTAGAAGGTATCGTCCCACCTGCAAATGGATTCGGTCAGCAATGATAGAAGATGACTGCCCCGCCCAGTCCAACATTCCAACTCACCTGCCCGTGTACTCGTATATAACGCCCGCTATCGGGGGCCCTGCGATCATGCCCACTCCCTGCACCAGCAGCACCAGACCGTAGGCACACGTGAAATCGTCCAAGTCAACGATACTGACCAGAATGCTGGGCGTGAACGAAAAAGAGCTGGCGAACGTGAATCCGAAGATGATGCACATGAACATCAGGCCAATGTAGCTGGTCATCAGCAGGGGCATAAAGAACACCGACGCTCCACAGACTGAAAGAGGTTAAGAGATCGTTAAGAGAGTGTCATGGATGACAGCGCTCCTGGCAGCAAAACTCACCCAACATGCACAGCGAGTAGCATATGTTGATGTTCATCCAGGGTAGATCGCCCAGGTAGCCCAGTCCTATCATGCCCACCGTTTGGGCAACGCCGACGTCCGATATCAACTCGGCACTCACGCTCACATCGTATCCGTATTGCTTCATGTAGTCGGGCAGGTACAGATAAGGGATAATGAACCTGTGGAGCGTGCCAAGGGGTAGATTAGTCGCTAGCTGGTGGAGGAGAATCTTATCGGGACAAGGTGAGTTTGAATTGATTTCAACTAGTTCCTTATCGAGCTAATGGAGCACTTTGGCTAAGATAAACCATGATCTTGAGCACTGATATGGCGGCCTACTACCAATGCTGATCGATCATTTTGTGCACGGAATTTCACTCACTGCTGTTGGCCAACATTGTTATTGTGCAACCAGCTTTCGATTTCGAACAGCTGCCAAAATTGTTTGCGACATCTTCTGGCAAATGTACAATTTGCAGTTGACGCGCTGGCACATTCATCTATTTTATTTAGCGTTTGTTTTGCGTTCAGCTTGTGGTCTTTGCCAATTGGTTCCCGGTTTTGTTTTGTTTTTCTTTGTATTGCCAAAAAATTACTCACCAAATGAACAAAAACAATGTGGAGAGATTGAAGAGGGCGAACTTCATGTCCAGAAAGAGGGAGAAGTCAAAGATGGACTTAATGGTGTCCACGAAGTTGTCATACCAAGTCTGTAGATAGAACAAAACGAAAATAAGTTAATGTTGGGTATATAACGAGAAATATGTTTTTTCCAATGTTGTAAGCCTAATCAGCTCGTACTATTCGAATAGCAATACATTTATTGATTGATAAACAAATTGTCAAATCTTTTGATTTGATTGATATCATATTTAACCCAGCATGTTGGATTTGTTATTAAAATAGTTTACGTTCTTTGAGGATGAAGGGGTTGAAAAATGCAAAATTTATCGTTTGACTTTATCTGGTTGGACCTCGAAAGATTGTCTTTAAGCTTTCGTTAAATATCAGCCATTGAGTTTTATATTACAAAAAATAAGAAAAAAAAGAAAAAACAAGATCGACTATTAGATACTTATTTCCTTAGCTAACTAACGTTCATACGGACGGACATGTGTAGATCGACTAGGCTTTTGATCCAGATCAAGAATATAAACACTTTAAAAGGGTTGTTAACGCTTCCTTCTATGTGTTACAGACCTATCTTGACCCTATGACGGTTAAGACAAGGTAACAAAATGAGTGAATTTTTTTAAGCCAATGTATGTCAGCTTTGTTGCCGCACGGAAGTCAGAGCTTAGAGCCAGGCTTATCAGCTACGGAAAGTTTGCCCATGTGGTTCAACCGGGCGACCATACGGAGACTGAGGGGCAGCTGATAAGGCTCAAAGCTGAGCATTAACCGGGTGGAACTGTCGCCAAGCGACCAGCCGATTAGGACGGGGCCAAGGGTCATCGACTACTTACATCCTCCTCCTCCTTGGCGATGGTGGTCATCGAGTTGCGGTAGATGTTGGGACAGGATGAGGCGCGCAGCCGGTAGCGGTGAGTGTTGAGCATGGCACCGCGGTAGTGGATCGAGTTGCGGTGGATGCGCATGTCCTTGAGGAAATTGGAGTTCCGGATCGAGATGTTCCGGCGCAGGTTCGACCGGTGGTGGCTGGGCTTCTTCGAGCGCGAAAGTCGCCGGATACCGGTGATGCTGTCCAGCCGGGCCCGTCGGATGGCCAGCTCGCTGTTGACCGACGGTTCCTGCTCTGGAATGGCTATCACCGTCGGACCGATCCGCCTGCTCGGCTCCAGCAGGGCGAAGGTCTCGTCCTTCGAGTAGTAGCAGTGCATGTCCTCGCTCAGGATGTCCACCGAATTGTGGCGCAGGCCGTTCACCTTCAGGTTGGAGATCGACGGCGTCGTGTGCTTGGCCATGAAGATGTTCTCGTTCAGCGAGTACCGGGAGCTGGCGTGCTTCTGCGTGAGGTAGCCCTCGTCCGAGGAGCGCAGCGATCCATTGGGAGTTCCGCCGCCGCCGGAGCGTTTCTCCGAGGGCGACAGCGTCTCGATGGAGGCCAGGTATGTCCGCTTGGCCAGGTCCGCCGTCTCCTGCGCAATGCCACCCATGAGCGTGTCGTCCGGGGACCCAATGACGGCCGTCGATGGCGGGTAGGCGCCCGCTCCCGACGACATGGACAGCAGGTTCTCGCGCGAGGGGGCCTCGGCACCCTCCTTGTGGCGCAGGGAGCGCCGACTCAGGCTCTTCACCTCGCAGACGCTGTCCAGCTCCTGGGTGCTCAGGAAGGTGGGCAGGAAGATCTCGCTGCGGTAGCGCTTGAGGGCCGAGTCCAGGGGATCGTCGATCTGCTGGTTGGCCTCCGTGTTGTTCTTGGTCACCAGCGAGTCCAGCACGGCCTCCTTGGTGATGCCGGTGTCCAGTAGCTTCTTGATCTCCTCCAGGCAGACGCTGGAGTTGGAGAAGGTGGTGACGCTCTGCGACCGGCTCTCCAGCCGGTTCTCCTCGATCAGCCAGTCGGGGTCGCGCATGAGGGCGCCGCAAACGCAAGCGTTGAGCATGGTGCCGCCCAGGATCAGGGTGGCTCCCCGCCAGCCATACGCCTCCATCAGACTGGAGGTGAGGCGGGCGTACACAAAGGTCCCAATACCGGTGCCCGAGGCCCCGATTCCGGTGGCGAAGGTGCGCTTCTTGTCGAACCAAAAGGCGATGGACACCACTGCGGTGACGTAGCCGATGCCCAGGCCGAGACCCGAGATGATGCCGAAGGTCACCATCAGCATCTCGATGGAGTTGCAGAAGGCGGAGAGCGAGAAACCGAAGGCAGAGACCAAGCCGCCGAGGATGGTCATCTTGCGGCAGCCGTACTTGTCCACCAGGTTCGACCAGATGGGCCCCATCAGCAGGGGCACGGAGAAGAAGAGCGACGAAATCCAGGCGGTCTTCGAGGTGGACTCGCCGAAGTAGCTCAGCAACTCCACGTTGATCAGTCCGAACGAGAAGCTCAGTCCGTCGGCGATCAGGGACACCACCAGCGAGGCGAACACCACCACCCATCCGTACCCGCCGTCGGGCATCTTGGGCGCCTTCTTCTCCGTGCTGCTGGAGTCGATGGAGTCGCCGGACTCGTTCGAGATCAATCGCTTGCGCCGCTTTACCTGCCCATTGCCGTTCATCAGGCAGGTCAGGGTGCCGTCCTCCAGGGCGACGACACTGCTCCGGCCCATCCGGCTGTGCCCCGCCCCGCCGTCGGCGAGCTCCTCCGCGGACAGGTTGCAGAAGGTGACCTCCGGGAAGAGGTCGTGCTTGATGGCCTTGTGCAGGGGCGTGTTGGCCGGCGCCGGCGTCAGCGGCAGGGCCTGATAGTTGGCGGCGCCTCCGTTCTGCTGCTGGCCATTGTGGTTGTTGTTGACCGCCTCGCAACTGTTGTTGTTGGAGGCGCCGGGGTCCGACGTCAGCTTGGCCATGTCGGAGTTCCGCTGATCGACTTTCGATGATCGGTGATCAATGATCGATCCGGGTGTTGTGTAAAGGGTTCAGCTACGGCTACGGCTATAAAAAGGTGTGTAAAATTTGCACTTTCTTGTCCAAGCGATTATTGGAAGTGAACACAATTTGCATTAGATTTCAGCATTAATTTTCTTAAGTAGGCGGTAGGTGAATGTTCCCCCTTTCTGTTGCTCAACTGCAGTGCGTAGCTGAAAGATAGAAAACAAGAGAACAGAGCCTTAGATAGATTTTAAACTTGTACTTTGTGCTCTGATTAATAGGAAAAGTTTCTCTTAACTTTCTCCAGAAAATTCTCTGTCGGCGACAACCAACATTAATCTACCTCGGTAAAAGTATACTTCTATGGCTATCTGACCAATCAGCGCGACCACAACAACATACGCCTGAAAACATTTCGTTTAAGAATCCGCGCAGAAACTGTTTGGTCATTTGGTCATTTGGCATTTCATTTATTTAGTTTTCAGAGCGCCTTCAACTTGACCTCAGGAAAACGGCGGAAAATCTTTAGAGAGGACTCTGAGAGAGTCGAATGGCTGGCTTCTTACATCAGTAGCAAAACAAAGTGCGTCACATGAACGCGAAGGCAGCTGATGTCGCCCAATAATTATGGCATTCGAAATTGTATTTTTTTAAAATATATTTTGTTTTGGCTTTCGGCAGCCAGTCTGTGGTTAATTATAGACTGCTGTGTAGGCTGTATAGGGAAAAATTCATTAACGTTCGGACACCGAGGGTATGTATATAAAGTGTAGGAATAGGCGGCTAGACGGAAAAGTGTTGGGTTCTTTACGGCTTACCTTTTTGTTATCCAAACAAGGCTCCTTTCGCACGACAACAGCGCAACCGAACACGAACAAAAAACAAATCGGTGATCTGCGGGCTTTTAGGATTTCACTAGCACTATGTTCACTGTTTCAGCACTGCCGCCGCCAATCAGTTCACCATAATTGCACAGATCTTCAGTTATGTTTAGCTCGCTCAGGGTGCGATTCGAGTGTTTATTCAGGGTGGCGGTCTTATTGAAAATTCTTAGGCGCGGATCGCGGGGTATATAGTGTAGGAACACCTTGTTCGACTTGCCGCTGTTGTTGTATGTGCGCGGATTGTTGTTCTGGCTATTATCGAACGACTTAGCAATGGCCGTGGCCGATGCGGATGCTGCAGATGTTGCTTTGCCTGCACGATAGAATGACTTGGACCGAATGTCATTCATTAAGAACGCTAGGGGGTTTATCACAGGCCAACGGAGAATATATTGAGCGATAATTGATGGCAACTGTGGCCAGTTGCTGCTGTTGCTGCTGTTGCTGCTGCTGATGTTGCACTTGCACTTGCAGTTGTTGTTGCTGTTGCTGTTGCTGTTGTAGCAGTTTATGCTGCCGGTAAGCGGATTTTGCCCTGGCAGCCACATGCGGTACTTTGTTGTCACAGAAATCAAACACTTTTCGATGCGCCCGTCGAGTTCGAACGAAAAAAAATAATGACGATAACGAACACAAATCAAACACAAAACTGGGCCTCAGTGGTTTTCCAGGAGGTGGTGCTGCGGCTCCGGGGTATTATGCCGCTCCACGTGTCAAGTGCGCGGCGCGTGGTTTGGAGGCGGATTGGCAGGCACATACATATACTTATACATATCGACGGCGGGGCGGACAACGGGGCGTATGATTAATTCGACACTGGTGCTGCAACTCAATCACTGCTGAGGCTGCTGCCCTGCTTGCTGACGCCTGATAATGATTTATGATCTCCGTCCTCGATTAGCAGCCTTCGGATTCGCACGCTGCAATGGAGACAGAAAGAGTGGGGACAAATGTTAGTTGAGATTGCCCCTCTGATAAATGACTTAAATCTATTAATATATTCAATGCGAGCAATCAATGTGTGTTAAATTCTCCACGAAATTCCCACAAAAGCATCCCATATACAGGGAACCTTAAACTTAAAATTAACCACTCAATTAACGAACAATGCGGAATTGGTATGCGACAGCCAACAACAAATATTTATTTTGAAAACCAAAAATAACACTGTCTCAATTCTAGTTGCATATCATAATAAACCGAATTATTGAAATCACGTGATAGAAGTAAGCCTAGGTAAAAGTGTTATTTTGTGTATTATTATATTTTTTATAGGACATCTATAAATGTGCCTTTAAAATCTACAATGAAAAGCAGTAATTTTGTAAAAATTGTTTAGGTTTTGGTAGCAAATATTCATAAACTATTTTAAACTATATAGAGTCTGCATAACTTAAACGACCAAAACCGGATTTACTTTTATTGAAATCTTTATCAGCCCTTGGGCTTTGGCAAATCTTGAAGGCAGTATTAAAGCAATATTAATCAAAGCTTTTTGTTGTCATTTAAAATTGATAAAACACGTTTGACACCAAAACGTTTTTATTTCTGCAATAATAACTAACATGAATAAAAATTAAGGGAATAAAATAAACGATTATTGTTTTGAGGCTTGCTAATTTGGATAACCCTTGCACGTGTATTAAAGATTTCTGACAGAAACTATGCTTTGTGTGAAATTAATAAGCACAAACGGCCTTATAAGCCAAACTAAACATATTTAATGTAAATTGTATAAGTTGAATTTTTTGGTGGGCAAGAACCCGAAGTTTTCTTTGTTTTTTGAACCACTTGATGGACGCTCGAGTCCACCTTCTGAATGGAACATCCAATAAAGACCAAGTGAACGTGGTTGTAAACGGACAAGTTCAACGATCGATAAGCGAAGCGATTAAAATACTCGTGTATTGCACGCTTAGCAGAGAGCCTAAGTAAACAGTAAACGGCGTGTTTTATTTTCCGAGATTTTCAGTTTTAAAAATACGATTGTCTGATTTCCGAGTTTACCTAGACAACAAAATTGTCTCTTATCAAAAATCAAATTCGGATTATATGAGTACGTAGATCGCTAGTTGGTATATGTACTTGTGGAGGCGATAGCCAATCTGAGGCTAAAAGTGGTTGCTGGCTTATCTTTACAATATAATTGGCAGAAAATGGTTTTATTCGTTCTGATGCGATAACGCAAGCTAAGGTCTAGCCTTCGAGCATAACGATTTATAGTTGAAGTTTACATTGTTGCGAATGGGTGCAATTAAGGCGTTCTTAGTTTTTCATTTCCTTTTTTACTGATATATTAAATGAAACAAAGTTATAGCAGGGTTTCCCCTATTTTTGTTATTTGTTTATTTAACTAAACCTTACATAGTTGCAAACTAGTTCAGCGCTATTTGCGGCGCCCTTTTGTATGCTACACTTCTGAAAAGCACACGCGTTTGAAACAGCACTTTCACTTTGTAGAGCAAATCGTGCTTGAAACTTAAAGTCCACATTTTGCTTAGTCCGTATTTACACAACAATAGGCGAACACAAAGAAAAGCGCCGCGGAGGCAACCGCCAACATCTGAGTGAACTCCACACGCTTTGCACTCGGCTCTTGATACGGATTCGGGGTCGGATGAAGGAACAACAGACCAGAGCCACAGCTCGTCGAAAGACCGACTAAAACCCAAGACCAAACCCAAACCCACTCACGCCGCTGCCGGCGGGACGGAACTGAGCGAAGCGTTGGCTATCGTTTGCCTTAATCTAATAAATTTCTTATCAAAGAGCGCCGTGAACACAGTAGTTTCTATATCAACTACAACTACTACCCTTCTCGTAGAGTCTGTGTGTAATGGCACACGCTTTGGCCTCTGTCAACATGCCAACCTTTGTGACGCGTTCTTCTCGGTCTCTTTTCGGCGGTGGTCAGATTTGGATTCGGAGCCTGACATATGCTCGTGTATGCATATATATATACAATCATATAGGCGAGTATAAAAGCGCTTGTATACAAATCATGTGATTGTGGGTAATTGCTATTCTAGTTACAACAGCAATGCCTCGGTCTCTATAAAATCAGAACCGACGTCGACAACCTTGATCCGTTAATAAATATTATTTTTCTATAGAAAAGCTGTACATTTTCGGAAAGGGATTATATACAGTATTTTAAGAACGATAATGATAACTAATTTAAAATTGTGTCTATGTACAAATACTTGCTCATATTTAGGCTGTAGTTACTGGTTGTCTTAAAATAAAATTTGAATTTGAATTTTAATTAAAATTAGGTCAACATAAAACTTTGTGCTTTCATTTAGGACCGCAAACATTAACTTTATCTAGTTAGTGTTTGTTAATGAATTAACTGAAATTTAGCTCTCCGATTTTTTTCTGATTCGTGTCACAAAAGACCCATTAAAGAATTATCGTTCCAAAAATAAAAATAAAATAATTTCACATGAAGAAGTAACAAATTACAAGTAAGTAATGTCCGAACAAAATTTAGTGCATAATTAATATTAAAAGAACTATAAATGTTTGGTTACTTGAGGAGAAGGGGTTCGAATTGGAAATATGTTATAAAATATATATGAAATGACAAATAAATAAATTGCACCTGAAGTCTTGTCGAACACAAAGCTAGTCTTGCCTGACCTAATTAGGTTGCCGAATCCAAAAATATCTAGTAGAGTCCGCTTTTTTATTTTATCAATTAACGGTTTTTTTTCTGAGCCCATAACTTGGTTAAAACGGCTCTTTATAATATGATTATGGTGATAAGTCAAAATACTTTCTGCGACGTTCCTCAGGTGAGTGAATTGTGAGGCAATTCTTTTGGGCGATAAGTTTTATAGTACCTATATTTAACGCAGGGTTTCTGTTTGATGCTGACCTAGGCTATCGTATTTGGGTTATTGGTCTGATTACTATATTGTTGGCTTTAAAGCATAATTTTAACCTGGGAAAACCATAAGGAAAGTGCGCGTTGTCTGGATGATGGATATAAAACTGGCATTTCAGCGGGCTCAAGTTAAAAGTTTGCCTTAATTGTTTGTTTTGATCTAATGCAATTCGATTCTAGCCTTTACGTTTTAATTGAAAGAGTTGAACAAATTGATTGGGCCATGTAGTGGAGACAAGGACAAACTGTTCACCTTGAGTCAAATTAAGTTTTAGTACTGCCCATTAGTATGTCAACCCTACGAAGTTTACTTGAAGAAGACGGGGAAACACGAATAATCAATATTTGTCCTTCTAAGCCCTGTACTTTTATAATGTTAAAAGAAAATCATGCCCAAGAGGTTTCCCTCCCGACATTAACAAGTTTAAATCCCAATTATTCTCTGTAGCATTTAGCAAGCAAAGTTTGCAGCAAAGCAAATCGGTCGCTTAGATGGTTTTTAAGTGTGCTCAGCTTTCTGACATTTGATGTATGTAGCTCTTCCCCTTTTCCTTTCTGCTTAATTGATGTCTGTAATTGATTGTGGGCTCAGATAACCCCCATTGATGGCAAATGTTAATTGATTTGTGGTTTTGGCGTTTTGTTTGGAGCTGTGGGTGGAGGGTTTTGGTTGCACTGCTCGATGATGCACTCAGTTAAGATGGTTTACGCTCAATTTGATAACTTTAATATGAGCTATAACATTAATATTTAGGAAAATTGAAATAAATTTGTACAAAAACTTAAAAGACCAAGGTAAAAATTAACACAGGTTTAAAAAATACGGAATTTGTTTAACTCGTTAGAGGAAATAGTGGAAGTGTCTCGTCTATTTCTAGAAACACAGATATCTCGGCATTTATAAAAGTTAAAGATTTGCAATTTAACATTAAGACTATTGTTAAGTTTATTTTAAACTCTTTCCAGGTTAAACAGTATTTTCTGCTAATGCTCTTTAAATTGACTTTCTTAATTATTTTGCCTGGCCAGTATCTTTTCGGCATTAATTATAATGTATCTTTCCTTAGCTAAAGCCCCTTTTATGTTTTGACTGATGCCGTCACTTGAAAGCCAACGCAAAAAGTCACAAAGGAGGCCACTGGTTACATTTAACAAGCGCAAGTATATACACAGGCAGGTGCTGGCGGGGTCCTTTCATGTTTTATATTTACTCTTTACAGGACGCGAACGGAAAACAACAAAAAGGCAACAATAAAGTGCAGCAGCGGGAATGTCAGCTCTCAAAAAGTTATGGGGTTCATATAAAAAACGAAAATGGCGGCTGCACTTTACACTTGCAGACTAACGTGGACCCAAATGTTCGTAGTTTGTTCATATTTAAAGGATTATTATGATTTTCGCCTTCAACTTGAGTAACTTTGCGGTCTCACGAGCGCACAAGAAAATTTTTCTGTATTGATTTTTTCTCTAGCTCTAGGATTTTTGATTTTTTTTGGTTCAAGGTTATGTGATCCTAATTGCATGTGTTAGTGCAAACGGCGGTTATGTAACATGAGATAAGTGTCAATAGAAGTAGAAACGGGTAGGCCAAAAAAAATAAAAAAAATATTGTTAAAATTAAATTAAAATCAAATTTAAACCTATTTTTCTTACCCCGCAATAAATTAAGTTTTTTATCGATAATTATACGCAATTATTGAAAGTCACAAAATTAGTTTGATTTATAATCTTGCCGCTAAGACAGACTTCTGTTGGACCACATTGGAAACTTTAGATTAAAATTAAAATAGCTTCCTGAAACCATATAAAATCGAATTATCAGAGCTAATTTTATCCGGTTCACGGGTAGAATTCTAAAACGCAATATTCCCTGCATTCCTCATAACATTTCGATGTGGTTTCCACTTTGAATTAATAAAAAATAAACAAAAAATCGTACCAAGACAAAAGCCTTTGTTTGGTCACTCTTATTGCTGCTTTTATTGTTGTTGCAGGCCTTCAAAAAAGGGCAACTTGGCAAAAAACGGACATTCTGCTATGCGTGTAAACAACTTCAAGGTTGGGGTGATTTTTATTTTCTAATTTCTGCTCCTGACATGGGCATCCAAAGCGAAGTCCAAAAGGTTAAACGTGAAATGCACTATGCGAACAAAAATGCAAATTAGAAAAAGGTAATAAACTAAACCTGCCGTCTGAATTTAGAGCTAGCAGGCATGCACTCTCATTTAATTCACCAGATCAATCGAAATGAAAATGAATTATTTATATAAGTTTGGAAATAATTTATCATGCTATCTATGATTCACTAATTAAGCAACCATAGTGCACGGATGTAATTATTATACTGTTTCTATTATTATATCTATTATTAAGAAAAGTCAATTTAACCACTTTCAGATAAGCCTCCCCAAGGGCGTTTTTCCCACGATAGTGGGCCGGAAGAGGGGGTGACAAGGTCACCAGCAGCAGGTTGTGCGAGGAGCATATGATGTAATTACGAAAATCTCGCTTTGCGACAAATTTGCCACCAGAAATTTAGCGACACGCAGTCTGTGACTTGGGCTTGGTGGCTATGTGTTTTTGCCAAGTTTTCTGGCGTGTTTGTTTTTGCTGATCAAATGACAGCTGGGCGCAAATGTACTTTGACTGCTCCTAAGTGCTCCACTTACGCGTAAATGTGACTGGATGCGATAAAATAGTTCCTTTGTCAGTTGTTTATTTGATATCTCGGCCCGCGCTGGACTCAAGTCCAATAAACAAATCGGCATTGACTAGTACAGTAATTAATTTAGAGCTGCACTGCGAAGAAATCACTTGTTGGCACTTCTTGCAATCGTGGCAGTTGCTGCCTCCCTCGAGTTTGAAAATGAACTGAATGAACAGCGTTTCCCCGTCCTTCCTTCTCAGCTCCCTCCATCTCACTCACTCGCTTCCTCTGTCTCCCTCTCGCCCGCTGTACATACATACATACATACATACATACATACATATGTGCATAGGGAGTTTTTAATTTCCAAGTGCCCGGCGCATTTCCCACCACCACTAAACACTTCTTCGCTTCTCCCTTTTTGTGTTCTTTTGACGCAATGGAAATTTACCAGTTGACATCATTAGATTCCGTGGCATGCCTTGAGTTTTTTGTGTTTAATCCAGAGTTTTTTTTTCATATTTTATGCATCACAACCAAGAATCATTTTATGCCCTCAAAATACGTATCATTTCGAGAAATATCCACGCACTTCAAACAAAACATTACGAAGTTTATTTCTAATCAAAAATGTAGCTTATAAAATTTTCTATTCGTAAAGGGTTTAATAACTAGAGCATTAAGAATATGTTAAAAACATATGCCTTAAAACACCTTTAATAAATTATTATTTAGTTTAATAAGAAAGAAGTAAGTATTTTATGTAACTGAATCCAGTCTTTGCTGTTTGTAAAAACGCTACACAAATATTAACATGAAAAATTGTTTAAAAAAATGTTTTACAATTTCTTTGTAAGTAATTCATGGTTCCTAGGAAAGTCCATCGTGCCAAAAGTCCTAAATCAAGATGAATGCTTAAATCGCATGCTAAACTCATTTGAAATTACGACCTGAATGTCGAGAAAAGCTAATAAATATGCAAGTGGGAGTGCAATCATTAACGTAATATAAAGCAGCTATTCATCAAATACGGTTGAATAAATCACATGCAACTTTGTTGCTTTGCCATGTTCCCATTTTATACACTCTAAATGTCAAAAAACTTTTCAAGATGTTTGTGCAATGTTTGAGTTTGTCCCCACATAGAGAGAAGATTATTAAATAGATAAGATAACCTTAGATAGTAAAAGTAAAACGCTTGGACAACAACTTGTTTTGTTAAAACTTCGACTAGATATTAAGGAAATGCAGAGACAGCAATAAATTGCAGGTCTGAAAAATCAGAGAACATTCATAATAATGAAAATTTACTTGATTTGCCTAGACCAATTTGTATATTTAATTAAGTCATTGTGAGTTAATGTCAGTACAGTGGAACTAATGAAGCGTCTTTAGAGCAATTAGCATTATTAACACAGTTGTGATAAAATTCGCTGGGCGACTTATGAACATGTGAATGTATAATAACCGGTTATGTGGTTTCATTTTAGTTTAGTCCCACAAGCATTGGCCATCAGCTGTTGGATTCTTCATCGCTCACTGCTGACACACATTATCCGGCAGAACGGATAAACAGCAAAACAAATAATAATAAATGCACAAAGGTCTTACCGGTTTTATCAGCTGCTACAGACAGTTGTTTTCGGTTTTTTTTTTTCTGATTCCTTTGCCGATTGCCGAATTCAAACTTTTTGTGCGGTTCGAGGGTCAATGGCTTTTAAGCTTAAATATCAGACACATTACGACTTCGAAATGCATAAAAATCAAGAATCCGCTAGCTCAAGGACGGCAGCCAAGAGAATGGTTTTCGATTACAGTAAATCAAATTTGCAGAACGAAAAAAAGAACCGAAAATCGAAGCCAAAAAAGCGTTCGTATGTAAGTCAAGGCACTATATCTAATATCTTTACATACACTGAAAAAAAAACGTTTAGCTTCATATAAGCTATTCTCCTAAAACATTTTTGGTAAATTAAGTAAGTTTTTTGTAGTTTTTTTTGTTTCTGTGATTAGGACATATATTAACAGCACCAAAAGGAGTAAACCAGAAATCTCTGAAGATTTGAAACCATTTAAAAAGCGCTCCAAAAGTATGCTACGAAATAAACCTTGAAGGTTTTCCCCACAAATAATCGGAAAATACGCACAAGTTAAAAAATTCGGTGATATTTTCTTTATGTGGATGGGTAACTATGTGCAGCCCCCACTACTGGATTTTGAATGGTTTGTGTTGGTTGGTGCCCAAGACAAAGGCAATAAAAGCCAAACGACTGGAGCAACAAAATGGCGGCGCGTGTGTGACAAGCGAAAAAGCCCGAAACTGTGCTACAGTCAGTCACTGCGGTTAACCAGCATCTCATCTCGCCTTCGTCCTTCAGAGCCACCCACTGCAACCCAAACCCACGGCTTATGCAAATGGAGCAAGTGTGGATGAGTGAGGAGGCGTCGAGGTAAGTCAGAGTCTAAACTCTATAGATTTATCTTTTCAGAGTAGCCTTTATTGAATTGCATAAAACAGTCACTGTGTTAATAATGGTGTTTAATAATTGTTTCATTTAAAACCCTTTTATGACAGTTATCGTATGACTTTGTACTAATTATGTAACTAATACATATGAATGTAAAATACCCTACATACAAAACGAATACGAAGATAAAATGAACATACGCAACACATTCGCTTTGTTTGTCTTATCTGTCTCTGTTGAGTCACTACACACAGTACTTAATGCCAAAACTGCATAGGAGGAGCAGTCACTTTGAGTTTAAGCAAAACAATACAAAAATTTAAAAAAAATCGTCTGCTTTTTTTCCTCTTAACGTCAACAACAAATATAAATTCACCAGTCGTGCCAAAACGAGTCCAAATTAACCGACCTATAAATAGTCCCCATTCGATCATAGACGCAAAAGGTTGTCAAAAACAACGAAAATAAAGAAAAAATTTGTTAGCAAGAGCCAAAACAAACAATAATTTATCATGTATGCACGAATTTAAAACGGTACTATTGAGTGGAAATTACGCATTATGGCTGGGCACGATAAAAATACTTTTCAAAAAAAAATCAAGAGGGTCATTGAATCACACGAAAATATTAAACAAACTTTGTTTGCTTGGTTCTTACCTGATGTCGCTTTTTGTTTTTGTTGATTTCGTGGTTACTGGGCTAAATTACAACCATAGCTTGATCTTGGTCCTTTGTCATTGCAGTATCTCACATTATAAACTGAATAATAACTGATTGTAGTTGTTGTGCAGACGAGTCTTTAAATAAACCAAATAAGCTTGCTCTCTCTTTTTATTTTCTGTATTTCGTCGATTTTGTTGCCGTTGTTTTATGAATTTCTGCCGCCCGACTGCTTGCACAGTGGGATGGATTGGCCGTTGCACACACCCGAATCAGCTGACCCTCTGAATTTTAATTGGTTTCTTGAAAAGCTCCAGTGCCAAAAACTCTGCCGCAAAGATATAAAATTTATTGGCTTTCGTATTGCGCAAACTTTGTAGAAAGTTTTAATTTATGGATTCGCCCGACTACGCCCACCGTGCGGGAGTTTCGATTTTTTCCGGGGGAGGTGGGGCAATGACAACACCGTTCGGCGGCACAAGTTCACCAGAAAATGTGGGGCGACCGGAGGTCGTATAAACAAAAGCACAGTGCACTCGGATGCGGAAGTTCACGATTATAAGAGCACAAAGTGCACGCCGGAAACGGAAGGGGAACTCTCGATGCGCCCAATGCAGAATTTTTAAATGATTACTTAACGCACACTGACGAGACCAAAAAATCAAAATCTCGACTGCCGGAGCCCTTAAAAATTCAGAAAAATCGAATTGCCCACCACACAAACACTGCACAACCGTCCGCACTCCAATTGGAAAATCATCTGTAGAGGTGGAGAATCATCGAAGCCACCATCGATGTTTTTAACACATCGGTAATATCGATGCTTGGCAGGGCGTCATCGATGGTTTTCCATCTCTAAGGAGATGTTTCCCCATCTGACGTAACAGCGGCTGTTAATTCAACACTCGTAGAGGGTGGAAAGTAGTTAGATAATGTATTGAGAAATATATCAGAGCATGATAAAAATCTTGAATCATTTCGTCTTCGGCTATAGTCTTAACGCAATTAAACAAAATTGTTGGACTGTGCTTATTTAAAAATAAATATAGGGTTTTGAATTAAACAATATCATTCAATATCGATATTCTGTTAGACTTTACTTCAGTCTGTTAGTTGCAGAAGATGTTATTTAAATTTAAGCGCCAGAATATTTTGACCGTTACAATTTTTATTTGGAGGTAAGACAAAAAAGAGTAGCTCATTAATAGCAAGTTTAAATAAACACTAAATTTAATTATCTACTTTTTAAACCAAAAACATAAATTAATAAAAAATATTTTAAAGTTTTTTTTCTAGAGAGTGCCACCATCCGAAAATACTTTTTAAATTTTTTTTTAATTTGGAGAAGTTGTTAACTTAGACATGGTCATTATTAAAAAATACAAATTAAACTGGACTTTTTAATGTTTTTGCAAATTATACATGTTGTATTTAAAGTCCCGTTAAAGTCAAAACATAGTTCTTTAGTACATTGTCGATCTGCTTTATTTAATATGGTAGTTTTTTAAGTAGGAGGTTTTAAGGCAAACAGAGAATTAAAAAATAATATATATGCTACTATTAAGGCAAGAACTAAGTTTTCTTATAGCCGTTACCCTAGAGTAAAAGGGTATATTGAAGAGGGTCCACGCCCACTCTACGCCTCAAAAACGCGAAAGTCTGTCACTGTACTCTGAGACGTGGTAGATATCAGTTATAAAGCTTCTTGGTTTTTGATTGAGCAGAAAAAATAATTGCAAAACATTAATAAACATCGAAAAGCTGGATACCCCTTATTCCACTTTTGCTTCACACTTAAATTATATTTATAAATGTTTAATTACAAGTTTTAGCGAAAGCTAACCTTTTATTTATATTATCAAAAGGTTACCTAATACATAAACAAGCTTATGAAGTCGGCTCCGCGGAGTATTTGTTGAGTGCAACTTTTTAATTTTTCGCTTCAGTTTACATGGAGTAAAGCACCAATAAATTTAAATATAATAACTGCCGCATAATAGTGTTACTTCGTTCGATTTGAAATTTTGACGGTATATTCTTAAAATAAAATAGTATTTCACGAACTTGTTATAAGATAAAAAGTAAGTTATATGTTTTTAAAGTGCAAGCCCATACTTCTGCTATTAATTTTTTTGTATCTTTTACCACATCTGTAATGGCTTGTTTCGATTACATTTTGCGTAATAATGGTATATATTGTAAATGCACATATACTGCAATATATTTTAAGTAGAATAATACTGAATTGGTGAGGTAAAGCCTAGGAACAAGTGAGGCTATCATCGCCCTCGGCTTCGTCGGCTGCAAAATAAGAAGAAAACGAAATCGTAAATGACTAGCTCCGTCAATTATCACCCAAATCCCGCAGAGGAACTGTCAATCGTCAAACGGTTATCACTTCACTTACAAAGAATTTGCAGGCCGAACATCAGGGAGAATCCCGCCACGGCGGCGATAAGTGCCCGCCATCCAGCGTGGCTCTCGGTGAGGATCTCGAAGAAGACCACATACAGCAGGGTTCCGCAGGCGATGCCCTGGAGGATTCCGGAGGGCAGACTGGGCTGCCCCGCCGCCACCTGCTGGCTGATGCCCAGGCCCACGCCGATGCCAATGGGCGTAACGATGGAGAAGGTCACCAGGTACACGATGGCCAGCGAGCCGCGCGTGCGGGCCACCAGCAGCTCCATGCCCACGCAGAAGGCCAGCACCAGCTTGTGGGCGGCCACCGCTCCGAACATGAACCACACCGTGCTCACACTGCCCTCCAGTCCGATGGCCATGCCCTCGAACAGTTCGTGCAGGGACAGGGCCAGGATGATGCCCAGACCCCTGGCAGAGGACCCTTCGCCGGATGCCACGGGCATGTGCGAGTGGCCGTGGTGATCCTTCGGCGGCTGGGGCGCCATCTCTTTCACTTCCTGTTCGCGGGTCGCGTTCTCCTCACTTCTGAGCAGGACACTGTGCCGGATACTGCGTCCTCTTTCGAAGGCGCGACTGGCCACCGACTCCTTCCGGCTGAGCTTCCGCTGGTGGCGACGCACCAAGTTGCTCATCAGCTCGTCCAGGGCGTACATCAGGAAGAAGCCCGTGCAGAGCAGCATCTCCGCCAGGGCGAAGGGCGTCTGGGCGAGTGAACCGCAGACCTGGAGGGCGTCCACCACCTCGATCACCTCGGGCAGCATGTGCAGAAACGTGGTGCAGATGAGCACGCCGCCGCCGAAGAAGAGCAGGCAGCGCACCACCGCCGACGACCGGGTCTCCTCCGGACTCTTCTTGGTCCACTCGAAGCACCTGTTCAGGACATATGGCAGGCTGCCGCAGAGCACGGTGATCACCACGAGCACCACCATGGCGACTATTTTGGCCACCAGCAGCGATTGGCTATCCGCCTTCTGCGTTTGGTCCTTCGCCATATTCCCGCTCATCTTTTCGGCCCGAGTTGCGACCGTCGACTGAGCTGGCTGGTGTTCACGGCCAGACGAATGGCTTATAACGGCCGTCATATATCAGCGGAAGGTGATTGAAATCTGATCGCTGATTGATACGCGGATTCACGGCGCAGACAACGGCCAACCGTCCCAACATAGTCGTAGTTATCTCTTTTTTTTTGCAGACAGGTGGCTTTCATCGCATTCACCGATAACCAAATCATGGTAAGTGGCTTGGAAATGAGTGGTGTAATGTGTGGGAATTTCGGAAGTATTGCCTTAATTGTGCTATCTTTAATTTTATTGTTACACTGAGGACATTTATTTGGCAACCATTGAATTAAGTCCCACTTTTAAATGGGTGTCTTGGAACTATAGCCAGATAAGATACGTAACCTAAGTTTAAAGATTGGTCACCCTAAAGTCTGTGTCAACTTGATTTTTAAAGAAGTTTAATATTCTTTCGAGTTTTTTTTTGCAGATGTTCAGCTAAAAAGCTTCCTAAAACAAAACAGCAAAGCTTGCAAATCTAAGCAATGTAAACTTTATTTTATTTAATTTATATTTCTTTTATGTAGTGTTTTAATACAAGAGGGCTGCCAAAGAGTGGGTAGGCAAGCAAACTCATCATTTGCGAAAAAGGAAGATCGTCCAAATTCACATGGATGAACCATTTGGAACAGCTTTTGACTGACTTGTTTACGAACTTAGATCTTGGGAAATAAAATCGCTTTTTACAAAGCAAATTATTGTTTTATTTAAAATTAATTTATAGGAAGCTTTGGTTACCGAACCAAGTCTTTCTTTGTTTTGTTCATATGGTAGCCCTTAAGCTTGTATAGTTTAATTGGACATTTAAACCGACAAGCTTTATAAATATTCGAGTATCCTCTAGGGGCACGTGAAATGGCTCTTGCCCTTTGCTTCTCCAACTGAAATAATGAGATTAGCTGTTGCCTTTGTATCATTGAGGGCTTGTGAAAACACTTACTGGCTATCTGGAGACCAAACATCAGGACAAATCCCACGACCGATGAGAGCAGGACCCGTAAGCCGGCATGGTTTTTGGCCACGATCTCGAAAAAGACCACGTAGATCAAAGTGCCGCAGGCGATTCCCTGCAGGATTCCCGAGACCGTGCTCGGTTGGTTGGCTGTCGCGGACTCGCTGACCGCAATGCCGATGCCCACGCCAATGGGTGTGACTACCGAGAAGACCAGGAGGTAAACGACGGCCAGCAGCCAGCGGGTGTGCGCCATCATGATCTCCATGCCGATGCAGAAGGCCAGCACGAGTTTATGGACGGCGATGGCTCCGGTCATGAACCACACGGTGCTCACACTCATCTCCAGGCCGATGGCCATTCCGCCAAAGAGCTCGTGCAGGGAAAGGGCAACGATGATGCCCAGGCCGCGAAGCCAGTTGGGCTCCTTGGGTGCTTCCTCGGATTGGACTACTACCACCTCCACCTCCTTGATTACCACCACCTCCTGGAGCTTCTTCTGCTGCCGCCGTCGCACTATGAAGTGCATGGCCTCCTCGATGCAATACATCAGATAGAAGCCGGTGCAGAGCAGAACCTCCGGCAGGCCGAACGGGGTGGGCACTAGCATCCGGCAATCCTGGAGAGCACCCACCACCTCGACCACCTCCGGCAGCATGTGGATGAAGGTGGTGGCTATGAGAACCCCGCCGCCGAAGTTAAGCAGACACAGCACCACCTTGAACTCCCTGGCATTGTTCTCCGGCCGCTTCGTCCACTTGTAGAAGTGGTCCAGGATATAGGGAACGAAGCAGAAGACCAGGGTGACCAGCAGCAGCACCACAATGGCCACGATTTTGGCCACAATGAGGTGTTGGTCTGCCATTGCAAGTGAAATAACTGGCCAAATATCAACCATTACCTTTTTATAGTTGAAGTGGCTATCTAGTTGCAGATATCAGTAAATTGGCAAATATGTACTCATATTAAGGGCTTAGGTGTTTAGACTTAAGGCGGCCGAGCGTTGTAGCTTAGGCAAAGGTGTAAGGTAAAATTTCGGCATGATAGCTTTATAAGCACTATCGTTCTTTTCAGTCTGGCACATGTTTGGCTTTCTAGTATGAGGTCATCGCTCTTTCTTGCCTTAGCTTGTCAGTGGAAGTTTTCGGTCTGAAAATTCAGCTGGCGAAAGCAAATAATTAGTTGCCAACGCCAGTCACAGCCTATGGCACTATCATTGGTGAGGCCTACAGTTTCACGTGGTAACTTCAAATTGAGTTATCGTTGGTGAATACTAACACAGCTTGTGAGTCAGATAAAGTACTAGGGAGGTGACTATCATTGAATGTGGCGGAGGCGCATGAAATAAATCATACGCAGAGTATCTTTTAATATTTTATTGAATTTATTAAGCCGTAAATGTTTTACAACGCAAGTGGATATATGCAGGTATTTATAGATCGTGCCAGTTATTTAATGTGACAACTAGAAAAGAAATCAATATTTCGTGGGGCAATCAGGAATTTGCACTTTTGTTAAGACCGGTAGCACCGGTATTTAATTATAAGCCAGACCTTCGATTTGGAGTGAAAGTATTTTGACAACTCCTTATCGTCTCCATTAAATTAAAACCCCGACCTTATGCCCGAAACACAAAGCACTCGTTAAAGCTGATATAATTAAATGAGAAATAGGTATATATGTATACATAGTAATAGTTAATAAACTTAAAAACATATTTTAAAAATTCATTATTTTTCGGTCGACAGAGTCGATGTTGCAATGGTTGAGACCATTATTATCAAAACCATCGATGTTTTTATAGCAAAAGCTTTTACCTGTGCAAAAGTTGCATAGAAAAGGCGAAGAAATAGTACCACCGCAGTAAAAATTAAAACAACATTTCTCCAAAGTTGTTATGATCACTGTTTTTATAACGTTCAAAAATTAATAAGATTGGATTGATTTTGCGACCTTTCCTCCTTTGGTTAAAAATTAATTCTTCCGTAGATTATCCAATAGTTTATTAATTATAACAAGCCGTAAATGTTTTACTGTAAAAATTATTATTGGCATTTATTACACAATATTATGGCATTTAAATGTAACTTTAAAGTAATTACTATGACTTGAGTGTTTGTTTCTTTAATTGATTTTGCATGACGGGTGTGAAGACAAATGAATTCTATGTTGATGTGAATATGCATATGTGAGTATTGATATATATGGAAGTATCAGAGTTTGTTGAAGTTATCAAGCTCTCTCAAAAGATATTTCTAAAGCAATGGATCGTCATTAGCTTGGGGCATACCTTAGCCCACCGAGCACGGTTTTTTATCGGCGTCTAATTTAGACGATTGGATGATAGTTTAATGTACATATTAATGCGTGTGTGGTTGTGATTTTGGATTATCATTTCAAGTTGTTTCGCTCGTTGTTTGTGTCTCTTGTCGAAAACCCCTCATGGTAGTTGATAGCCATTCAACATGGTTCAGTACTTGCTGCCAGTTTTTCCTGGCCTAGCCCATTCACGACTGCTTGGGGTGCTGAACAGGGGGTGGGGGCGCCGGCTTGAAGCACTGCAGCAGGAAGGCTGTGTAGACCATAAAGGCCACCGACAGAGCAATCAAAGCATACATAAAGATGTTCAGTTCCGGTTGGCGGAAGCGGTTCTTGCGCAGCCACTCCAGCACCTCGTCCTCGGAAAGCAGATCGCCTGGAAAGATGTTTTGCCATCAAGGTGGTTCCCTTTGATCAATAAAATTCCCGACTTACCTCTATATATGCTGGGGAAACGTCGACGGAAGTAGACCATTGCTGGCAGCTTGGTGACGCCCCATTTCTTGGCATACCGTGAGTCGGCCATCTTAACAAATGTTATATCCAGATTGTCCGTCTCGCTGTCAATATTCTCAAGCTTCTCCAGAGCGGCAGTGCTGTCTGGCTGATTGTGTTCATCTAAATGATTGGATGTTTTGTGGTTATTAAAAAGAATCCTTAAAAAGTAACTTCTTTTACTCACAGAAGAACACGGCTAAGAACTCATTCTCTTCGAGCAGCTTGTCAAGCATTTTGCGATTGACTTCTTCGATTTCGTTTTTGATTTCGAATACATCTTGTGACGTCAACCAGGTAATCACCTTATCGTGTTGATGCAAATCTCCGTCATAAAGGACAGGTACTTGTTTTCTAAATTATTCAAAACTAAGAAACTTCTTTGTGAACTTTGTAGAGAACTTACCGGAAATATACCAGGGAAGGTATATTGACAATTTCGTATTTTTTGGCTGCCTGAATACTAGCTATCTTTACGAAGTCAATGCCAAACATATCGGCTTCGCCATCAATCTCCTCCAGCTCTTCCAAAATCTCCTCGCACTCAGCACAATCATCGTCATCTAAATGTGGGTCAAGACTTCAGACTCAGTTTTTCATTAAAACCATGCAAGGTACTCACAAAAGAAAACTACCAACAGGGTGGACTCGGCCATCAGACGGTCCAACATGCGCTCGTTGACCTCCTCGATTTCATCGGCCAACTCACGGTTGTCATCATCGATGAGCCATTCCAGCACTGACTGCTCGTTTTGCAGATCACCCTCAAACAGCAATGGGTTTCCATTTCTGCGTATACATTGAGTTTGGTAAGAGTATTCACTTATTATACACACACCGTTTACCTGAAATAAACCAAGGCCGGGAAGGTCTTGATGGAGTAACGCTTGGCCAACTGCGGATCTTGTATCTTGACCATATGAATGCCGAACACATCGCATTCGTCATCGATCAGTTCCAAGCCCTCTAATATCTGGTCGCATATGTTACAGTTGATTTTGTCTGCCAAAAATAATTAGGAAGTCAGTTAGCCACTAAGAAACTAATTTAAATTTTAGTGCCAAGCTTAAGAATCGGTTAGCGATAGTGTGAGAGGCAAAGAAAACGCCGTAACAAAAAGGTATTCCCGTCCAAACTAAATCCCAGTGATTTTTGGCAAATCCGAAATAAAATATGATCCGTTTCTGAACTCCAATATTTTACAGCGAATGAAAGACGATGTAGAAATCTAATTTAGTTTGGTCGTAA